ATATACAGGGTCAGTTCCAATACCATATTTACAATATGCAGGGAGACTGGAGTGATAGAGGTAGATACAGTGAGGGAAAAAATTATTTGATCCCCTGCTGATTTTGTACGTTTGCCCACTGACAAAGACATGATCAGTCTATAATTTTAATGGAAGGTTTATTTGAACAGTGAGAGACAGAATAACAACAAAAAAATCCAGAAAAACTCATGTCAAAAATGTTATAAATTGATTTGCATTTTAATGAGGGAAATAAGACCCCTCTGCAAAACATGACTTAGTACTTGGTGGCAAAACCCTTGTTGGCAATCACAGAGGTCAGACCTTTCTTGTAGTTGGCCACCAGGTTTGCACACATCTCAGGAGGGATTTTGTCCCACTCCTCTTTGCAGATCTTCTCCAAGTCATTAAGGTTTCGAGCCTGACGTTTGGCAACTCGAACCTTCAGCTCCCTCCACAGATTTTCTATGGGATTAAGGTCTGGAGACTGGCTAGGCCACTCCAGGACCTTAATGTGCTTCTTCTTGAGCCACTCCTTTGTTTCCTTGGCCGTGTGTTTTGGGTCATTGTCATGCTGGAATACCCATCCACGACCCATTTTCAATGCCCTGGCTGAGGGAAGGAGGTTCTCACCCAAGATTTGACGGTACATGGCCCTGTCCATCGTCCCTTTGATGCGGTGAAGTTGTCCTGTCCCCTTAGCAGAAAAACACCCCCAAAGCATAATGTTTCCACCTCCATGTTTGATGGTGGGGATGGTGTTCTTGGGGTCATAGGCAGCATTCCTCCTCCTCCAAACATGGTCAATTGAGTTGATGGCAAAGAGCTCGATTTTGGTCTCATCTGACCACAACACTTTCACCCAGTTCTCCTCTGAATCATTCAGATGTTCATTGGTAAACTTCAGACAGGCCTGTATATGTGCTTTCTTGAGCAGGGGGACCTTGCGGGCGCTGCAGGATTTCAGTCCTTCACGGCGTAATGTGTTACCAATTGTTTTCTTGGTGACTATGGTCCCAGCTGCCTTGAGATCATTGACAAGATCCTCCCGTGTAGTTCTGGGCTGATTCCTCACCGTTCCCACGATCATTGCAACTCCACGATGTGAGATCTTGCATGGAGCCCCAGGTCGAGGGAGATTGTCAGTCTTTTGTGTTTCTTCCATTTGCGAATAATCGCACCAACTGTTGTCACCTTCTCACCAAGCTGCTTGGCGATGGTCTTGTAGCCCATTCCAGCCTTGTGTAGGTCTACAATCTTGTCCCTGACATCCTTGGAGAGCTCTTTGGTCTTGGCCATGGCGGAGAGTTTGGAATCTGATTGATTGATTGCTTCTGTGGACAGGTGTCTTTTATACAGGTAACAAGCTGAGATTATGAGCACTCCCTTTAAGAGTGTGCTCCTAATCTCAGCTTGTTACCTGTATAAAAGACACCTGGGAGCCAGAAATCTTTTTGATTGAGAGGGGGTCAAATACTTATTTCCCTCATTAAAATGCAAATCAATTTATAACATTTTTGACATGAGTTTTTCTGGATTTTTTTGTTGTTATTCTGTCTCTCACTGTTCAAATAAACCTACCATAAAAATTATAGACTGATCATTTCTTTGTCAGTGGGCAAACGTACAAATTCAGCAGGGGATCAAATACTTTTTTCCCTCACTGTATGTATAGGGGTAAGATGACTAGGCAACAGGATATAAGATAAACAGAGTAGCAGCAGCTTGTATGTGAAGGGTGTGCGTGTGTGTAGAGTCAGTATAAATGTATGTGTATGTGTGAGTGAGAAGTTGATGGAGTGAATGTGTAGGGCCCTGTGAGTGTGCATAGAGACAGTGCAAAAATAAAAGGTCAATAAGGATACAAGGTTTACTCAGATAGTCCGTGTAGCTATTTATCAGTCTTATTGCTTGGGGATAGAAGCTGTTGAAGAGCCTGTTGGTGCCAGACTTGATATACCGGTACCGCTTGCTATGGGGAAACATTTACATTTTAGTCATTTAGCAGACGCTCTTATCCAGAGCGACTTACAGTGAGTGCATACATGGTTTTTTTTTTCATACTGGCCCCCCGTGGGAATCGAACCCACAACCCTGGCATTGCAAGCACCATGCTCTACCAACTGAGCTACATGGGACCAGAGAGAATAGTCTATGGCTTGGGTGGTTGCAGTCGTTAACGATTTTACGGGCCTTCCTACCAATATAAATGTCCTGAATGGCAGGGAGCTCGGCCCCAGTGATGTGCTGGGCTGTCTGCACCACCATCTGTAGCGCAATGCAATCGAGGGCAGCGCTATTGCCATACCGGGCAGTGATGAATGTAGAACTATTTGAGGATTTGAGGACCCATGCCAAACTTTTTCAACCTCTTGAGGGGGAAGAGGCGCTGTGGCACCTTCTTCATAACTGTGCGCGTGTGTTTGGACCATTTTAAGTCTAGTGATTTGGAAACTTGAAGCACTCGACCTGCTCCACTGCAGCCCCTTTGATGTGGATAGGGGCGTGCTTGCCCCCCCATTTCCTGTAGTCCACGATCAGCTCCTTGGTCTAACTGACGTTGAGGGAGAGGTTGTTGATCTTACACCACACTACCAGGTCACTGACCTCCTCCCTGTAGGTTGACTCATTGTGGCCGGTGATCAGGCCTACCATTGTCGTATCATCAACAAACTTGATGATGGTGTTGGAGTCGTGCGTGGCCACGCAGTCGTGGGTGAACAGGGAGTACAGGAGGGGACTAAGCACACACCCATGTGGGGCACCTGTGTTGAGGGTCAGCGTGGCGGAGGTGATGTTGCCTACTTTCACCACCTGGGGTCGGCCCGTCAAGAAGTCCAGGATCCTGTTGCAGAGGGAGGTGTTCAGACCCAGAGTCCTAAGCTTGGTGACGAGCTTGGAGGGGACAATGGTGTTGAACGCTGAGCTGTAGTCAATGAAGAGCATTCTAACATAGGTATTCCTCTTATCTAGGTGGGTGAGGCAGTGTGGAGACCAATTGAGATTGCGTTGGGGCGGTATGCAAATTGGAGTGGGTCTGGGATGGTGGAGTTAATGTGTGCCATAACCAGCCTTTAAAAGCACTTCATGATTACAGAAGTGAGTGCTACAGGGCGGTAGTCATTATGGCATGAAGCCTTAGAGTACTTGGGGACAGGAATGATGGTGGTCATCTTAAAACATGAGGGCAGTACAGACTGGGACAAGGAGAGGTTGAAAATGACTGTGATTAAGCCTGCCAGCTGTTCTGTCATGCACTGAGAACGTGCCCTGGAATACTGTCGGGCCCCGCGGCTTTGCGGGTGTTGACCTGATTAAAGACCTCACGTCGGCCTCTGAGAGTGAGATCGCCCAATCTTCTGGATCGTTGACGGCCCTCACACCCGGCACGATGTTGTTGTTGTCAAAACATGCATCAAATACATTGAGTTAGTCTGGTAGAGAGCAATTGTTGAGCAGATCACGATTGGGTCTTCTTTTGTGATCCGTAATGGACTGTAGCCCCTGCCACATGCGGCGGGCATCGGAGCCTGTGTAGTATAATTCCACCTTATTCCTATATTGTCCTTTTGCTAGTTTGATGACTCTGTGGAGGTCATAGCGGGACTTCTTGTACTTGTTCCTGTCCTCAGCCGTAGCCTCAGGGTTGTCTATGATAGCTCTGTGTGCGGTAACCCTGTCCTTTAGTTTAGCGGCAACCTCTGTGTTAATCCAGGGCTGTAGATTTTCTGGCTTTTTTATAGCCTCGTACAGTTCATTAAGGGCCAGCTTGTTATCTTTCTTATCCTGAGGTGGAATGTATACAACAGTCACGATAACAGCTGAAAACTCCCTCGGGAGGTAGAAGGGTTGGCATTTGACCGTCAGGTATTCCAAGACAGGTGAACAGTGGGTCGACACTTCCACCGCGCCAGAGTTAGCACACTAGTTGGTGTTGATGTAGAGGCAACAGTTTCGAGATTCCAGTTGGTAGCAAATCCACGATCGGAGGTCATCCATCTTATTATGGAGTGTATATTGGCCAGTAGACTGGAGGGGTAGAGGTGGCCGGTTTTCCCTTCGCCTTATTCTCACCAGGATTCCCTCCTCTTGCCTCTGTAACGCTGGCGTTTCCTCTTGGGTAGCCCGAAAATTCGGTCGGAATTACAGAGAGAACCCAGGGTAGATGAGTTGAAGTTGAAGACGGAATTGGGGTAAATGCTGATCTGATGATCAAAAGTTATTGTCGGTTGTAAGAAATAAGAGCGGATACATTGTGAAAATAAAGTCAAAATAAACAACAAAATAGCACAGTTGGGTCGGAGCTTGCAAAACGACAGCCATCCAGTACGGCGCCATCTTTACTGTGCATTCTACAGTGTTTTTTACTGTTGAGATTACAGGAAAGTCTTACAGTGTAGGGCATTTTTTATACTGTATTTTCATAATTAATAGGCTGACATTACCTTTAGCAACAGAATATTTCACCACCATGCGTTTCCATCTTCTCTATTCATTTCTCAAACGTGCGGAGAGGAGCTGTCAACAGTTTAATTCGTTTTGTTGTGAAACTGTTACTATCAATGTTCCCGAACAGATTTCACTTGGTTTCCCAAATGAAGCACTGGGTAGCTACAGGAACAGGGTTGGAGAGCCCGATGGCATACAGAGTTTGGGCGGAATATCATCTGTCGCGCAGTGAGAGGCTGCATGCTCCTCAAACAGTGGTTGATGGGTGGAGAGAATTAACTGGAGTAGCCTACCTGGCATGATTAAAAAAAACGAACCAGTGGTAAAGTGGCCTCCATTCACTATTCAAGTGCATACAGATGACATGTCTTTTTTCCCCTGCCCTTGTTCCTGACCGGCTGACAAATGTCATGACTGCCATAGCCTATCCAACCAATCAATTCCTCCTTTCGGAGGTGGTCAAGAAGATCTGATCAGTTCTTTTAATCATCTCCAACGGTATAAAAAAAGTGTTTTATTTCAAATTGAATACAGAAAAGTCAACCTAACAACTATGACAGACATATAGATGTTAACTTTGATCAACACAACAAAAAGGTAAAAACGAATATACAATGAAAACTCTGAACACATGAGATATGGCTTTGGTGCTGTCAAATGTCTAAAAGTTATATACAGTCCACATAATATATAAACATTCATTCATAGGTCATATTCAATAATTGGTTGTCTATTTCTAAAATAACGGTTGAAAAAAAAACATGCATGCAAAAGCATTACATATTGAAAACTCAAAACATTTCAAATTAAAATACCTCAAATGTTCAAAAATTATAGATTAAACATGACAGAATAAAGGATTTAAAAGTCACAGGAAAGTCATGTTTCTTACCTGTTCATTGATGGAAATACGTGACCATATCAGGTCCAAAACACACTGAAGAATATTAAAGTTTGTATGTCCTTACTAAGGTCTTAACAGTACCCTGGAAAGATGATATGAATGCTCTCAGTATATACAGAATCCACTCAGAACTGCTCAAATGACATGGTATCAAGGAAAAGGACGACACTTGCACAATCAATTTGTATTTACAGCTTTCAACAAAAAATAGATACTTTCAAAAGGTCTTGCATTCTTCCAAAAATTTTTTAGTAGTTACTGGTGGAGCGCATGCTATGGTTGCAGTCCCTATGGCCCTTTGTTTCAAAAGTGTGGGGGCCACAAATGAAAAGACACTCCCTCGCAGTATATGTGGCTTAATCCTGACTTTATCGCTCTATTCTGATGGTTTGAATAAATCAACCAATTGTCGTTGACTTTTGATAAATGTCCGTTAGTAAAGTCAACCAACCAAGGTTATCTTCAATTCCAGAGCTTCTCTTCTCTTCAGCGCTCAGGAGACCTCCTCATCCACTGTAAGCTCCTGCAGTTGCTCCTCAACAGAACTCAGCTGCTCCTCCTCGCTCTGTTGCTGCTCTGGCTCCTGGTTAGACTTCTGCTCCGTACCAGGCTCTCCCTCTGGTTCATGGCGCCCGTTCTCCATGTTCTCTGTGCTCTCGAAGCAGCCCGAGTCCCTGGGTACGTCACCCTTCTCCTCAGCGCTACTTCCCTCCTCCTCTGGCTCAGACTCATCATCCGCTGACGGGGACAAAGACAAAACAATCATGAGCATCAATACAGCGTAAATAACGATCCCATCAATTTCAGTGTTGGTACAAATGTCATTATTATGTGTATGTGCCTCTAATGTCAGGGAAATTGCCTTTAAAGTCAAGTGCAGTGCGACGTCAGCGCAATGTGGTTCGTTTGAATCCCAGTTATAGTGTATGTAATTAAAACAGGGAAGCACGTTGAAGCTGCTAGCCCCTCAGGCTAACGGCCAACCAAGCAGTTATGTTCAGAACAGAGGAAACAGCTAGAGGACATGTGTTTAAAAGAGGGCTAATGATCTGGCTGGAGGGAAGAGAGCTCCCATATCAAAGTGTTTCTGAGGGTCAAATGAGGTTTCCTACAGGCCAATGAGCACAGCAGGAACATGTGAGTGGAATGTTGTACCATTACTGTACAGTTTGCCTCATAAAATGAAGCTAATTAGGTAACAATATTCCCGGAAAGGATACTTTCCAAGAAAGGAGAGAAAGCTGAAGATGGCACTGTATAGAGAAAAGCATACACTTATAGGCTTTGCTGAAAATGTCCTGCATTACATTACATCTTGAAGTACCACATAGGAGGCTATGAGGGAGGCTCCCATGTAAAAAGAGAAATGAATACATACAATGGGGTGATAGCTTACAGGTACATTATGGCATCATCTACCTGTAGTAAAGCATGGCATCTGTGTGCTTAGTTTTTCTATGATTATTATGTGATCATGGGCTCCCTATAGTGTGTTTCGTGTGTGATCTAGTATGTTATTATATGGAATTGAGAGTGGACCTACAGTCACGCAGCAGCTCAGTAGCAGTCAGGATCTTGGTACGTTGCTCAGCATCTGTGATGTTAAGTTCGTTGAGGTGGGACTCCTTCAGCCCGCCAAAGTCCTCCAGGCTCTGGAAGCCATGCATAGACAGCAAAGAGCCCAGCTCCTGAACAACAGAGAGAAGCATCACATTAGCATTGCACAATAATCCAAAAATAAATGTTCATCATTTGACAGGGACTTCTGAAAGCTACGAATGCAATGCAATTATATGAGATGCATTGTCAAATACTTATCCAATTTCACTGTCTTTATGCAGCACTCTGTGTTTAAACTTTTTCCAACTCTGAACTGATCTAAGTTAATAATGATTGCTCTTTGATTGCGTTCTCGAAGCCAATTGTCTATTTGAATCTGTATGAGATTAAGAAGATATGATTGTCTTACGGTGAGACCGATCCTCTCCAGAACTTCCTCCAGGGTCTGGGGCTTGTTTTTGGCCTTGGAGAAGCGGTTCTTGTTGGAGCACCTTTTCCTCATGGGCGGCGTGGCCTGGTCCGGTAAGATGTTGACATAGATGAACTTGAAGGTGCCCACCTTGTTGTTGAGCTTCCCTGTCCATGTGCCGACCGGGTCCTTCTCAATGATATGGATGATGTCACCTTTCTGCAGGAGAAACAGTGGATGATGACTACCTCGATTCAAACTAGATCCAATCTGCTTCCCAGTTATATAATACAATGTGACCACATACAGTTCCTTGAGAAAGTATTCATACCATTTGACTTATTCCACATTTTGTTGTGTTGCAGCCTGAATTAAATAATGGATTACATTTTTTTTTTAAATATCTCACCCGTCTACACACAATATCCCATAATGACAAAGTGAAAATATGTTTAGATTATTTTGCAAATTCATTGAAAATGAAATACAAACATCTAATTTACATAAGTATTCACACCCCTGAGTCAATACTTTGTAGAAGCGCCTTTGGTGGCGATTACAGCTTTGAGTCGTCTTGGGTATGTCTGTATCAGCTTTGCACATCTGGATTTGGGGATTTTCTCCCATTCTTCCTTGCAGATTTTTTCAAGCTCTGTTAAATGTGCACTATGCAGAAATTGCACCGTCATTTCATGGTTGCTAAAATGCTAATAGTACGGCTAATTTCAGTTTATGTGACATAACAAGCAAGCAAGTATAGTGTAGAGAATCATTGTACCATCTAAACCGCTGTGAAATATATTTTCCATAACCATAAGCTGGTGTACAAAAGTCTTTCCATAGATTTCAAATGGGATTCAAGTCTGGGCTTTGTCTGGGCCACTCAAGGACTTTCACATTCTTGTTCTGAAGCCATTCCAGCATTGCTTTGGCAGTATACTTGGGGTCATTGTCCTGTTGGAACGTAAATCTTCGCCCCCAGTCTAAGGTCATTTGCACTCGGAAGCAGGTTCTCATCAAGGACTTGCCTGTATTTAGCTCCATTCATTGTTCCCTATATCCTTACCAGTATCCCAGTCCCTGCAACTGAAAAGCATCCCCATAGCATGATGTTGCCACCACTATGCTTCACGGTAGGGATGGTGTTAGACGGGTGTGGTTGTGCCTGGTTTTCTTCAGACATAGCACTTTACATTCAGGCCAAAGAGTTCACGTGCCGTCATGTGCCTTTTTCTCAGGGGTGTCTTCCGTCTGGCCACTCTCCCATAAAGCCCAGATTGGTGAAGTGGTGTAGAGACTGTTGTCCTTCTGGCAAGTTCTCCCATCTCAGCCAAGTTCTGTCAGAGTGGTCATGGGTTCTTGGTCACCTCCCTGACCAAGGTCCTTCTTGCCCGGTAGCTCAGTTAGGTCGGACGGCCAGCTCTAGGCTGGGTAGTTCAATATTTGTTTTCAATATCCCAATGATGGAGACCACTGTGCTCTTGGAAACTTTCAACACTCTAGAAATTGTTTTATACCCTTACCCAGATATTTGCCTCATCACAATTCTATCTCGGAGATCTACGGACAGTTCTTGGACTTCATGGTATAGTTTCTGCTCTGACATGCACTGTCAACTGTGGGACCTTATATAGACAGGTGTGTTTCTTTCGAAATCATGTCCAAACAACTGAATTGGCCACAAGTGGACTCCAATCAAGTTGTAGCGACGTCTCAAGGATGATCAAAGGCAATTGGATGCCCCTGAGCTCAATTTGGAGTGTCATAGCAAAGGGGTGTGAATACTTACGTAAATGTGATTAGCCGAACTATTAGCATTTTAGCAACCAGGAAATGGCGGAGTGATTTCTACATAGTGCACCTTTAACAGAGCTTGAGAAAATCTGCAAGGAAGAATGGGAGAAAATCCCTGAATCCAGATGTGCAAAGCTGACACAGACATACCCAAGACGTCTCAAAGCTGAAATCGTCACCAAAGGCGCTTCTACAAAGTATTGACTCAGGGGTGTGAATACTTATATAAATTAGACATACAGTGGGGAGAACAAGTATTTGATACACTGCTGATTTTGCAGGTTTTCCTACTTACAAAGCATGTAGAGGTCTGTAATTTTTATCATAGGTACACTTCAACTGTGGGAGATGGAATCTAAAACAAAAATCCAGAAAATCACATTGTATGATTTTTAAGTAATTAATTTACAAGTATTTGATCACCTACCAACCAGTAAGAATTCCGGCTCTCACAGACCTGTTAGTTTTTCTTTAAGAAGCCCTCCTGTTCTCTACTCATTACCTGTATTAACTGCACCTGTTGAACTCGTTACCTGTATAAAAGACACCTGTCCACACATTCAATCAAACAGACTCCAACCTCTCCACAATGGCCAAGACCAGAGAGCTGTGTAAGGACATCAGGGATCAAATTGTAGACCTGCACAAGGCTGGGATGGGCTACAGGACAATAGGCAAGCAGCTTGGTGAGAAGGCAACAACTGTTGGCGCAATTATTAGAAAATAGAAGAAGTTCAAGATGACGGTCAATCACCCTCGGTCTGGGGCTCCATGCAAGATCTCACCTCGTGGGGCATCAATGATCATGTGGAAGGTGAGGGATCAGCCCAGAACTACACGGCAGGACCTGGTCAATGACCTGAAGAGAGCTGGGACCACAGTCTCAAAGAAAACCATTAGTAACACACTACGCCGTCATGGATTCAAATCCTGCAGCGCACGCAAGGTCCCCCTGCTCAAGCCAGCGCATGTCCAGGCCCGTCTGAAGTTTGCCAATGACCATCTGGATGATCCAGAGGAGGAATGGGAGAAGGTCATGTGGTCTGATGAGACAAAAATAGAGCTTTTTGGTCTAAACTCAACTCGCCGTGTTTGGAGGAAGAAGAAGGATGAGTACAACCCCAAGAACACCATCCCAACCGTGAAGCATGGAGGTGGAAACATCATTCTTTGGGGATGGTTTTCTGCTAAGGGGACAGGATGACTGCACCGTATTGAGGGGAAGATGGATGGGGCCATGTATCGCGAGATCTTGGCCAACAACCTCCTTCCCTCAGTAAGAGCATTGAAGATGGGTCGTGGCTGGGTCTTCCAGCATGACAACGACCCGAAACACACAGCCAGGGCAACTAAGGAGTGGCTCCGTAAGAAGAATCTCAAGGTCCTGGAGTGGCCTAGCCAGTCTCCAGACCTGAACCCAATAGAAAATCTTTGGAGGGAGCTGAAAGTCTGTATTGCCCAGCGACAGCCCCGAAACCTGAAGGATCTGGAGAAGATCTGTATGGAGGAGTGGGCCAAAATCCCTGCTCCAGTGTGTGCAAACCTGGTCAAGACCTACAGGAAACGTATGATCTCTGTAATTGCAAACAAAGGTTTCTGTACCAAATATTAAGTTCTGCTTTTCTGATGTATCAAATACTTACGTCATGCAATAAAATGCAAATTATTTTCTTAAAAATCATACAATGTGATTTTTCAGATTTTTGTTTTACATTCCGTCTCTCACAGTTGAAGTGTACCTGTGATAAAAATTACAGACCTCTACATGCTTTGTAAGTAGGAAAACCTGCAAAATCGGCAGTGTATCAAATACTTGTTCTCCCCACTGTATATGTATTTCATTTTCAATAAATTTGCAGAAATTCCTAAAAACATGTTTTTACTTTGTCAGTATAGGGTATTGAGTGTAGATTGGTGAGAACAAAACATATTTAATCCATTTTGAATTCAGGCTGCAACACAACAAAATGTGGAATAAGTCAAGGGGTATGAATACTTTCTGAAGGCACTGTACATTTTGTAGTATTATGTGAAGTGGTTCTGTCACCTTTCTGCAGGATAAACAGTGGATGACTACCTCGATCCAAACATTATCTGCATTCCAGTTAAATACTATATGTGGGTCTGTGTAATTCTATACTTCACTGAGCTACTAATAATAGCTACTGTAATTATGTTACATGTCTAATCTGGTCAGCGCTCAGTACAATTGGCCCCTATTCAGCCATGGATGATGACTAAGGAACCATTCTTTTATTTCACAATCTATTAACAAGTTCTTTAAGGAGGGCCTTACTTGGTAGCCTGGTTAAACCAGTCTGAATGCTAAGTGCACCGTCAATCTGGTTAAACCAGGTTACTTACTTGGAGCTTGAGGGACTCTATGTCATAGGGGCTGGGGATGAAGTCTGTGTGGACGCGGGCGCGACCACAGAAGGGGCCTTCGTAGGGAGGACCGGACTCCTCCAGCCTCATGCTGTTTCTCTGGCTGTAGCCACTGTCCAGGCTCTGGCGGTCCCCACCTGTTTTAATACACAACACCCATAGTCAGACAATCACTGGAAATCACAGGCATTCACAGGCACTCACTGGCTATCACAGTTATTCACAGGCATTGTCAGCTTATAGCCATTTAGTCTCATAAAGGGTTTCCGTAACAATAGGGAGCTGAACCATATTTAAAGTTTATATCCATACCTATTCCAATGTTCCCAACCTTGTGGCTGTGCCATGATTAGTTATGGGAGTGCCCAGCAACCCTGGGCATTTCTATGATAAGAACGCATATCTACTATGGGCTTCTGACTTGAATGTAGTGAGGGTTACCTTTATGTACTTGGCTTGGTTAGATAGGTTCAATAAAATATATCTTAACTTACACCCAGAGAGCTGGCGAGAGACGGGGCTGTGGACGGTGTCCTCGGAGCCATTGGAGCACACGGAGGTCCTATTGCCTGCTGTCAGACCTTGCATCCAGTCTGTGGTGGGGGACAGGGAGCCCTCCTCACCACTCTCCCCCTGTATACATAGAGGATATTATTTAGTGTTCAACAACAGACAGAGCCTTCAGGTCAAAATATGCCCTAACCATAGACATATATTAATTATACAAAAAAAATGGATAGGTGAAGTGTGTTGTATATACATATATTTTGTTTATATCTCTTGGCCCTAGCATGGGGCTAACGTACACCCACAGACAGCTGTCTGGGGACCTCACAATACAAAAGTCACTCGAAAGTATACTGTGCTGTAGTGTAGCCTTGTCAGTGGTGGGAAAAAGTACCCAATTGTCATACTTGAGTAAAAGTAAAGATACCTTAATAGAAAATGACTCAAGTAAAAGTGAAAGTCACCCAGTAAAATACTACTTGAGTAAAAGTCTAAAAGTATTTGGTTCCAAATATACTTAACTATCAAAAGTAAAATGTAAGTGCTAAAATATACTTGAGGAAAAACAGATGGCACCATTTTCTTGTTTTGAAAATTAGCCCTGGGCACACTCCAACACTCAGATGTCATTTACAAAAGATGCATTTGTGTTTAGTGAGTCCGCCAGATTAGAGGCAGTAGGGATGACCACGTGTTCTCTTCTAAAAAGTGAGTGAATTGGATAATTTTCCTGTCCGGCTAAGCATTCAAAATGTAACGATTACTTTTGGGTGTCAGGAAAAAGGTATGGAGTAAAAAGTAAAAGTTGTCAAAAATATAAATAGTAAAGTGGAGATACCCAGAAAAACTACTTAAGTAGTACTTTAAAGTATTTTTAATTAAGTACTTTACACCACTGAGCCTTGTATGCTAGAATGAGTTAAGGCTGTGAAAGCCTTTGTTTGGATGCTTTTTTAATGTGACCACTAGGGGGAGGCACTATCAACCTTTTGAAGATTTTCATGCAAAGGAGCACAGTATTTAAAACACAGGTAACTGCCAAAATAATGGAAACACTTGAGTAAATGAGGGATACAATGTATATTGAAAGCAGGTGCTTCCACACAGGTGTGGTTCCTGAGTTAATTCAGCAATCAACATCCCATCACGCTTAGGGTCATGTATAAACCTTCTGGGCAGGCCATCATTTTGGCTACCATGGCTATGCCCCAATAGGATGACAATGCCCACATCCACAGAGCACAAGTAGTCACTGAATGGTTTGATGAGTATAAAAACGATGTAAACCATATGCCATGGCCGTCTCAGTCACCAGATCTCAACCCAATTAAGATTCTGTAGCGGCGCCCGAGACAGCGTTTTCCACCACCATCAACAAAACACCAAATTATGGAATTTCTTGTGGAAGAATGGTGTTGCATCTCTCCAATATAGTTCCAGACACTTGTAGAATCTATGCCAAGGTGCATTGAAGCTGTTCTGGCTCGTGGTGGCCTAACGCCCTATTAAGACACTTTATGTTGGTGATTCCTTTATTACCTGTATATCCATTACAACTCAAATGAAGTGTCTTTGTCATTTTCAAGGTTAAACTAAATATCTATGCCAAAATATATATATATTTGAATCTATATTTGATTATTTGAATATAAATTAGTTCAATCATAAATTAGTTCAATCATAAATTATGTAGATGTTTACAATATAATTGCCATTTTATTAGACAACCTGTCAGTTATGATGATTTATTGGTAAGGAGACAGACATCACGTTGTTAGCTTTGGAACAATCTTTGCTAAGACCAAACCAGATAGCATTATGGGCACTGTAGTAAATCACGCTACACTTACCCCCTCCTCTGCCAGGGCCTTCTGTACCGTCTTGGAGGTTTTGCGGGTCATGGTGCGTGAGATGACGTTACGCCACGACTTCTTCCCCTGCTTACTGCCACTCTTCACTGCATCCTCCACAGGCACATCCTCTGGCACCTAAAAGGTTAATTTTGGTTACCATTTCAACATTTACTTAAGCCTATCTTTGCAAGATGTGGTTGTTGTGCGTTGTTTTTATCTATGTGGAACACAAGAAATGCATCTTCTCAGACACAAATTAAGTGCACAGGGTCACCTAACTAGGGCTGTGGCGGTCATGAAATTTTGTCAGCAGGTGTTTGTCAAGCAAATAGCTGCCGGTCTCTCGGTAATTGACCGTTAATTAACATAAACAGGTTTAGCATATCCTGGCTTCTATGCATAGCCTACAAGCCACTGATGCAGACCTTTGGAACATCTAGCCTACATTTTACAAAGTCTAATAAATCATTTTAATATAGCCTACACCATCACAATAAATCCATTATTTATTTCAGACAAGTCTAAAGAAATGTGACATGAAGAAAATGTAGTCTTTCAGAACAACATAATAGCATACTCTGAGTTTTCTTTATGTTAGGCCCTGATCTGGCTATGCCATATTGTGGACTACACTAGTTCATTTAGCAGACAAGATTTGCTTAGATTTTATAGTATGAAGAATACAATTGCACATAGCTGAATAAAATAGAATATTATAGATATTATATCCAAACAATCTCTGAGGGAGTGCGCACATGCGGCGGCTATTCTGTGTTGAGCGGTTAACAAAGAAACAGGCCCTCCTATATTAATTTAGAGTTATTTATGCAACTTTAGTTGTGATACAAATGATGGGCTATATGTTTTGATGTTTAATACATTCTAAGGCTGCATGATGCTACTCTAATGATGATTTGAAAAAAGTTGCATGAAAGACATGAGCTCTGCTTTGTTTCTTGTGCAGGCTGCACACACTTCATCAGTCTCTCATTCACAATTTGACAAGCACTTGATAATATTCTCACCAGGCCTCGAATTTCCTGGTGGCATCCCCCTTGTGTGGCCGTAATGCCCCCTAAAAAATCCATGCCTTTTGTGTCCTTGGACTGAATATAATAATTTTTGAATTCCCTTCTCCTGGCTGCCAATCGTTGTGCTCCGAAGCACCTCTCACGCTCTCTAAGATATCTCAATTCTTATTATAAACGGGGTGGTTCGAGCCCTGAATACTGATTGGCTGACAGCCGTGGTATACCACGGGTATGACAAAACATTTATTTTTACAGTTCTAATTACATTGGTAACCAAAGTAATTGGGATCTATTGCATCCCACAACTGTCCTAGAGTATGTTTGGAATATTCATTTATCGCACAGAAAGACAAGGTGACCAATAGAATAGGTACATTTCTGTACTATGGGGGATAGTAGATTGACATAGGCTGGCTAATGCTTTTGCTGTTCGTTAGGCCTACTCATCTTGTTGGCTGACGAAAAGTAAAATGTGGACAGTTCTTCTAACATATTCAATATGCGCCTCAGAATTCGATAAGAAGGACACGCACAGTTGCGTCCCAGATGTGTCGGTCTTCACTTGTAGCCTACTTCGGAGCTGAGATGCCTGTGAGAAGGACCAGATCACGTGACGGTCATTGGCTAATTAAGCAATAAGGTACGAGGGGGTTGCTTAATTAGCTGATGCCAATCCCGTGATTTTTTTTTTTTACCCCCCTTTTTGATCTTGTCTCATCGCTGCAACTCCCCAATGCGCTCGGGATAGGCGAAGGTCGAGTCTTGCGTCCTCCGAAACATGTCCTGCCAAACCGCGCTTCTTAACACCCGCCCGCTTAACCCGGAAGCCAGCTGCAACAATGTGTCGGAGGAAACACCGCCCAACTGACAACCGAAGTCAGCCTGCAGGCGCCCTGGCCCACCGGAGTCGCTAGAGCGTGATGAGCCAAGTAAAGCCCCCCCGGCCAAACCCTCCACTATCCTGGACGATGCTGGGCCAATTGTGTTCCGCCCTATGGGACTCCCGGTCATGGCCAGTTGTGACACAGCCTTGGTTCGAACCCAGGTCTGTAGTGATGCCTCAAGCACTGCAGCGCAGTGCCTTAGACCACTGCGCCACTCGGGAGGCCCCAGGCTCTGCTTAATTTTAAGTTATTTGGCCACTTTAGTTGTGATACAAACCTTATCAAAATATATAGGCCTATGGGCTAGGCTACATGAGGTGTGCGACTATGATTTGAAAAAGTCGCAAAAAAAAGGCCTATATAGCATTGGAGAAGCCTAGTTACCGTTATTTTGTAAATATTTTTTTTAAAAAATTAGTCATTTAGCAGACGCTCTTATCCAGAGCGACTTACAGGAGCAATTAGGGTTAAGTGCCTTGCTCAAGGGCACATAGACTGATTTTTCACCTAGTCAGCTAGGAGATTAGAACCAGCGACCTTTCGGTTACTGGCACAACGCTCTTAACCACTAAGCTACCTGCCGCCCCATCTACCGTGACTAGATGGTCATGTGGAATTTGACTGCGATCATGACTCGTGACCACTGGTGTGGCGGTAATACGGTCACCATAACAGCCCTAGGCTACACCTAACCGAACTGATTTTATACACATAAATGTAAGTGATCAATGTAACTTGTGTTATGATGTGCTCTAGAGTGGTTTGCGCGCACCCTTCACACACACAGACACAGATTGCAGTGTGTGACGTGAATCAGTGATTGGGACACTGTGTCGGTGAGAGTGCTTCCAGTAAAGCTTGGCTGTGATGACAGTTTGCGTGTGTCACCGGCAGAAAGCCCAGAGAGAGAGAGAGAGAGAGAGAGAGGAGCAGAGCATGGTGCGGTGAGTCATACTAGCTCCTCCCCACAGGGCTACAGTGCTGTGTCAGTATGGCTGTATGGTGAACATGGAAGCCTACAGCCCCATCTTCAGCACAACAGACCACAAGTGCTGCAAACACATACTGCAGATTAAATCACATACATACAGAAAAGAAATGCAAAAACCCATACGAAAGCATCGATGCAAGCACACACACACACATACATCAACACCAACAAAATCATAGGAACATTGCTTAGGCAGATATCTCATTATTTAATCATTTCTGGAGGTGGAGAATCCCTCACAGTTAATGGCACTGATTCTGGAGAGGTAATTAGCTGTAGTGAATGGATCTGACTGTGAAGCAGCAGACTGTCTGGAAGACAAAGCAGCAAGTGGTTCTCTGCTTGACTAGCTTTTACAGAGGACATCCTGCTCTGGTATTTCTGTCCTTCTGTCTCTCAATGTGGTTTGGTTTACACGCAGCTCTAAGCTTCGTCCTCTGTGAACTTCCTGTCCTTGTTGAAAACCTCTTCTAAACTTCTAGCTCTGTCTTCTAACTTCCAGTTATACTGTTTGTAAAATACAGTAGAGAAATAAATGCTATCCATTCAAGTTTGATTATATTGTCATCAACGTGAAACTGAGGAAGTGCAGAACTCTGCTATTGTTGGTATCGATTGTCGACAGCTTTTGTTTTTGGCAATTTTTGGGAAGCATGAAATGCAAACTTCCTTTATTGTTAAAGATTCAAACACTGATGTCAGTTTGCCCTTTGTGTTCAATAGACTTATAGAATTTAGTGTGACTGTGGGTATGGTTGAAACTCAGTTGTTGCATGACCGTTAACCAGTATGTCCTCCGTCGAGGAACAAGTACTTTTAGAATTTCAGTAAACTAATAGATTGAATTTGAAACAAACCCTGTGTTTCTTTAATCCATTTTTGCTATTAAACTGTAACATGATGGGATTCTGTGAATACATATGGCTTCCAATGGAAGACAGCAGAGGCTTTTGTTTTTAACAGAGGTAGTTCGGTGAACTATGCTCATGTGATGAGTAACCTTGCCTAAGGCCTGAATAATTACATTAGCTTCCCAAGCTAATGTCTAGGCTTTAGCTCAGAGGGCTAACACAGCATACTGGAGACCCGGGTTCAAAACCAGTCAGTCACACTGTAAACTTACTGTGTAGTCCAAGTTGAACTCCTTGTCCACCACTACAGGGGACTTGGGCTTCATGAAGTCCTTGAAGCTGCTGGACCTCTGCAGGGTGAGCTGTGGAGACAGAGGTAGGACACAGAGGATTCATGTAGGGGAGACCCAGAGAAATACACATTTGAGTCATAACAAAAGATAATCTCGACATTCAAGTCATGTGGTCTTAAACCTACAACATTTCATCAAAGATATTTTGGCACCCAGAGAGTTCTTCTAGTAAAATACGCAGAGACAGTTGTGATAGAGACAATGAGCCAGGAGGAGATAGAACATTGGCATGATATCTAAAATACAGTAGAGAACACATGGTAGCATTTATCATCATTTGGCAACATTTGTTAGATTTGAGGAGGAGGAAACGATCAGATACAGCTGAGAAGAAGAGCCAAAACGCCACTGTGGCCCCTCTTTGGGGGGTTAGGCCTGGGTACTGGTTTAGGCCTCCTGTTGAGCACTTACTGTAATGACAATGCATTAAATATTTTACATTTTTTGTAAAAAACACAAACTCTGAATCATCAGGTTTATTAAAATGAGAACTTAACAAGTTGAGCCACGGCACAGGGTATGTTAAGCCGCCTACACATTTCTGTACTGAATTAAATATTACCACTACCTTTTTAAAACCATGTCTATCTTTATTTCTCAAACACAATTCAATACAATCACTTTTTGTCATATTTATTTTAATTTTTAAAAAATGTAGCCCCTTTTTCTCCCCAATTTCGATCTTGTCTCATCGCTGCAACTCCCCAACTGACTCAGGAGGCGAAGGTCCAGTCATGCGATGCAGTGCCTTAGACTGCTGCGTCACTCGGGAGAGCCTGCATTTTGTCTTTTAATAATTTAAAGAATCTTAACACCAAACAAACACTTAGTACTTTTTAAAAACACTTTTTACATAGGCCCTGTTGTTACCTCATATCCCAGCGATAATGCCTTGCATTACGCCTGGGAAGAAAACACTTACATTTGCTCAACTTGCCATTGGCTTAACTTACCCCATGGCCATTGGTTCACCTTACAAGCATCATGAAACCTCTAACACAATAAATTAATTTGACTTGATGAAAATCCGTTTTTTGGACCCAACTTGCTTACCCCTTATTTCATGTGGTTTCGTCCTTCACAGACTCCCTGAAATGATGACGGTTTCTTAAATATTTGGTCAAATTATTCATTTTGTGTATTGTTTCCCAGAAACAACGGTTGTTCAACTTACCCCTTTGGCTCAACTTACCTCACTCTCCCCTAAGCAGCCATTACTTTCCATGTGACACCATGGCATATTTTCTTATCCACCTCTCCTTCTTGCCCCTATCTAAAAACCCACAGAAAGTGGGTACATGTTGGGCAACTGTCAGCAGCCAATCGCTGCAGGTGTCTAGACAGCCTTGGTGGCAATAGTGGTCTGTGTCGTCTCTTACTGAGAATGTTGCACTAATCAAACCACTGAATTAGAAGGAACAACTTCTCAGAGAAGACAGAGTTTTAGTGTAGTTTCCTATGATAGGCATTAGTATCATCTAATATCCATTAGGTGATCTTGCTGAGGAGCAAATAATTTGCCTTGTCTGGCATCAAAACCCACTGAAGCCCATGTTTCAGATATATTTTCTCTACAGGATATCTGCTCCTGAACAATAGAGTCTTTGCATACAGTTTTGAACTTTCTCATCTATTGTGTGTCGTGGTGGTGAGGAGCAATGAGGTTAAGGTAATGAGATGTGTAATGATGAAACTTGGATAGAAGCATAGAAGATGCATGCAGATGGAAAACAAGGGCACTGGTGTTAAACGTAGGAGAATAGCTGTTAACCAACCAAGCCAGTAGAGCTTTAGAGCGAGAAGCCACAAAATGCCTAAGTCTGACTCAAACTGAACTTAGCTGCTACGTCCATGGCCAGTAGCAATGAATCATACAGCAATATTAGATGAACTAACGTTTAGTGCCATGAGAAGCAATACTTAGTATTTTTAAGCCTGACAACTAAGGCTTCCATCTATTTCAGTTCCAAGTTTCAGAATGTTTTTTTCAGGTCACCACAATGGTTTCTTCTTCTAAGTCTGTGTAGCAAAACCTGTCAGTGTTTGCTGCACATACAGGCAGCACATACAGGCAATAGGCTAACGTGCCTCTCATTATCAGTGTTTGAGTTAGTACAATGGGATGAGCCAGACAAAGTAGCACTCTAAATTACTGTCCATCATGTGTTCATTCATTAATAAGATGGACACGTTGTGTTGCTCTATCATGTTCTAGCAAATATTTTTGCACAGTGTACTTCTTTCACTTGATCCCTGCTCATTTTGAAAAAGAAATATGACTTTTTGCAGTCCAAAGCCCTTTTTGCAGTGTTCAGACAGCGCTTCTCCTCGTCATTGCACTTTGTGTCGTCATTACTCACAGACACAATCCTCCCATCCAAACACAGACAACCCAAATCTCCTCACCTTCTTCTTCTGCACCTGCTCCTTCTCTGAGGCGTTGGAAGGTTTTCGCCGTAACATTGTTCCTCTATGGTTCCTCCTGCTATTCTTTGTGGTCAAAGAGTGGAGAGACAGGCACCAATGCAGACTTCAGCAGCTCCTGTCACTCTGATGTCACTACTAGAGAACTCTGACAAAATAGTAGACAAAAAGAGTGACTTCTTATTTGGTAGAGTGGAGCACAGAGACTGAGAGGAAGTCACGTGACCACACAGGAAGTGGAGAAGCAAACTTCTGTAGGCACTTTGGTTTGGGTTTGACAGAGAAACTCAACAATGCTTTATTTATTTTTTCTTCCTTTTAATTATTTTAATAACCTTGTGTGCCAGGCTTTTTGGCTCTACATTGCTGGTGAAAGAGACGATTCATCTCTAAATTCACAAAACTAATGGTTGATATCAGTGGAGGCTGGTGAGAGGAACTATAGGAGGACAGGCTCATTGTAATGGCTGGAATGGAATATTGGAACGGAATCAAACGTGGTTTGACACCGTTTGATACCGTTCCATTTATTCCATTCCAGCCATGACAATGAGCCTGTCCACCTATAGCTCCTCCAACAAATAGTCAGAAAAAAGTAATGGTTCTAATCCAATTTGTCTAAAATAGGGGATAGCTAATATAAAATAGGGTTTAAGCCACGGAACAAGAGCAGCCAGCAGTTAAAGATTACAATTGTCTGTGTCGGTAGGCCTACTCTGTCTGGGGTGGAAAGGTAGGCCTAACTTTCGAAAGTACAATGCTCAGATTCCTAATGATGTCTCAGATTTAATTATTTGCAAACAGGGACAGTTTCAAATCAAACAACACTGATTTGGCATTGGAGAAATATGATAAGATGGGCTATCTCTCTGTCCATTCTTAGCCTGTAATTTTGGTAATTTTCTTGGTATTACTTGTACTCCTGAGTGGCGCAGTGGTCTAAGGCACTGCATCGCAGTGCTAACTGTGCCACTAGAGATCCTGGTTCGAATCCAGGCTCTGTCGCAGTCGACCGGGAGACTCATGGGCGGCGCACAATTGGCCCAGCGTCGTCCAGGGTAGGGGAGGGAATGGCCGGCAGGGATGTAGCTCAGTTGATAGAGCATGGCGTTTGCAACGCCAGGGTTGTGGGTTCGATTCCCAGGGGGGGCCAGTATAATAAATAAAATAAAATCACTAACTGTAAGTCGCTCTGGATAAGAGCGTCTGCTAAAATGTCAAAATAAAAGGCAATTTTTTCTCGACCTGCAATTACGATGATAGATTCTTGCAATACTTTTACTATAAAAGAGAGATAGATTCATGCAATGCTTTTACTATAAAAGAGAGCGTTCCATCCCTACTCTTGTCCAAGGTGGTCTGTGAACCCACAACCTTCTGGCCCACAGCCCTGCGCACTATAAAAATTCCTTCAATGCTATGTAGCCTACTACACAGGACCATTAACAGTTTCTAAAACTGCATATCTAAGACTCTGGTCTGTCCAAGAAGTAAGGGTAAATGGTAGACATGTTCTCTGCTATCCACTTTGTTTTAATTATTATTTTGGGTATAGGGGAGGGTTACTTTTTTTTTTTTTTCAAGCATTCAGGGTGGGTTTAGGTAAAATATATTTTGCTGAAGGGAGGGGCATCCATTTTAATTTCAGATACGTTCCTTATGTTTCCAAAACCGTTCCGGAAGTGATGCCTTTTAACGTTCAGAACGAGCATCGGGGCTCTTAACAAAACTCCCCAGCGTCTATGATGTTTATTTTATTTTATTTTACCTTTATTTAAGTAAGTCAGTTAATAACAAATTCTTATTTACAATGATGGCCTGAATGGGTTGAACAGGTTCATGCATCCCTCTCATGCTGTTTATATTTAGGCAGATCTACCAGAGTGTGAGAAATGAATCATCTGTTGCATGTAAAAGGAGTAGTTGAGGCTTTCTTCCTCTTAACCCTAACATAGAGTAGGGGCCTACTAAACTACAGTACTGGGTGGGAGTAAAACCCCACCCTGGCTTGAAAGCTGCCATCCCTTTTGGCATTCACTCTTCCACATCCTATATGCTATGAGTGCTCATTATTAGAGTGCTCAAAGTAATATTCACTTGTTGTAGGGCACTGTTACTTGTCATGCCAGTCATACGAAATGCTGGTCAGAAGAAGATGAGTTCCACCTTTAGAGTGATTTCTGTCTGATAGAGGTGCTAGTTGAGGTTGTGTATGATAGAGATGCTAGTTGAGGATTCCAGCACTGAGTCAGCTTTACAAAAACACCCGAAGTAATTCTGTCAGAGCAGACCTGAACCCTGGAAGTGAAAGCCAACAAGAGATGACACATTTAGAAACTGAAGCTGCTGGGCAGGTGGAAATCCTTGCCACAGGAGAAACACACAGCCTGCTTGACCATGTTGATCCTTGATAAGGTATACAGAGTGATCAGTCAAGTCACGCATTTCCCTGTGGATTCTATTTCTAGTATTTTCTTTATTGCCCATCGGTGGATTCTCTAGGTTGTTATTGGCTCAAGGTAGAAGTTGCCCTTGATTTAGGACCAGATTACCCTACCCCTCAATCCTAACCTTAACCATTAGGGGGATAGAACATATCGACCCCTGCTTCAGTGGTTAGGGACAACTCCCTGACCCTGCAACTCAAGGGCAACTTTTACTTTGAGCCAATAACAACCAATAAAAACAACTGATGGATGATATAGAAAATAGTAGAAATAGAATTCACAGGGAAATGTGTATACATTATACATGTTAGACAAAACAAGCATTAGTAGGCCTATGCAGAAATAGCCATTAAAGGAAGTAGATAAATTGCATTCGGAAAGTATTCAGACCCCTTCTCTTTTTCCACATTTTGTTACATTACAGCCTTATTCTAAAATGGTTTAAATTAATTATATATACACACAATACCACATTATGATGAAGCGAAAACAGGTTTTTAGAATCTTCTACAAATGTATTAAAAATAAAAAACAGAAATACCTTATTTACATAAGTATTCAGACCCTTTGCTATGAGACTCGAAATTGAGCTCAGGTGCATCCTGTTTCCATTGATCCTCCTTGAGATGTTTCTACAACTTGATTGGAGTCCACCTGTGATAAATTCAATTCATTGGACATGATTTGGAAAGGCACACACACCTGTATATAAAAGGTCCAACAGTTGACAGTGCATGTCAGAGCAAAAACCAAGCCATGAGGTCGAAGGAATTGTCTGTAGAGCTCCGAGACAGGATTGTGTCGAGGCACAGATCTGGGGAAGGGTACCAAAACATTTCTGAGCTGGCCGCCCGGCCAAACTGAGCAATCGGGGGAGAAGGGCCTTGGTCAGAGAGGTGACCAAGAACCAAATGGTCAGTCTGACAGAGCTCCAGAGTTCCTCTGTGGAGATCGGAGAACCTTCCAGAAGGAAAACCATCTCAGTAGCACTCCATCAATCAGGCCAGACAGAGGCCAGTCCTCAGTAAAAGGCACATGACAGCCTGCTTGGCGTTTGCCAAAAGGCACTTAAAGGACTCTCAGATCATGAGAAACAAGATTCTCTGGTCTGATGAAACCAAGATTGAACTCTTTGGCCTGAATGCCAAGCGTCACGTCTGGAGGAAACCTGGCACCATCTCTACGGTGAAGCATGGTGGTGGCAGCATCATGCTGTATGGATGTTTTTCAGCGGCAGGTACTGAAAGACTAGTCAGGATCGAGGGAAAGATGAACGTAGCAAAGTACAGAGAGATCCTTGATGAAAACCTGCTCCAGAGCGCTCAGGACCTCAGACTGGGGCGAAGGTTCACCTTCCAACAGGACAACGACCCTAAGCACACAGCCAAGACAATGCAAGAGTGGCTTCAAGACGAGTCTCTGAATGTCCTTGAGTGGCCCAGCCAGAGTCCGGACTTGAACCCGATCTAACATCTCTAGAGAGACCTGAAAATAGCTGTGCAGCGATGCTCCCCATCCAACCTGACAGAACTTGAAAGGATCTGCAGAGAAGAATGGGAGAAACTCCCAAAATACAGGTGTGCCAAGCTTGTAGCGTCATACCCAAGAAGACTCAAGGCTGTAATTGCTGCCAAAGGTGCTTCAACAAAGTACTGAGTAAAGGGTCTGAATACTTATGTAAATGTGTATTTCCGTTTTTCCTTTATACATTTGCAAACATTTCTAAAAACCAGTTTTTGCTTTGTCATTATGGGGTATTGTGTGTTGATTGATGAGGGAAAATGTTTTCTTAATCTATTTTAAAATAAGGCTGAAACTTGTGAATAGAGTCAAGGGGTCTGAATACTTTCCGAATGTATTTTACATGTTAAATGTATTATTTTGGAGGGTTGACAAACGACATGACTAGAGGATGCCCTAGTTTAGTTTCCTCTTCATTCGAATCGAAGGTTGGCTGCAAGTTTGAGGTTTTGTGTGTTTGTACAAACGTTTGAGGGACAAAAGGATAAATAAACAATATTCAGCATAAGATATACTGGTTTCATTGAAAGAACAAACAGTAGCTATCCAAGTGGATGTACAGTATATACAACAGTATACACTTCATTTAGGGACAATGTGAAAGTTAAGAGATAGTACATTTACTAAAACTGTGTTCAGGTTGTAGGGAAATGTTGCTTACACAGAGACAATGAGCTCATATTTTCAACATCAATTAGTCATTGCATTGTTCCTCTTTCTCCAGTGGCAATAGCCACAGACCCAACCATTTCAAACACACACAGAGAGTTAAATGGACAGTGTCATCTAACCAACAACAAAAGAAATATAACAAAGAAAAGCCATCTTTCTCTTCTTATGAAAACTTGTTTTCGAATGTGGGAGGGATGCAAGTCAAACAAAAGCGTGCAGCAGGGCGGACGTCTTTGTAAAACCCACATTCACACCTTCCTGCAGCTCTGACAGGTCTGTTGCCAAGCAACAGCCCCTGTCTCACTGGCACTAGTTCTTCACATGTGGCACAGCTAGACGAACCTCAAGAGCTGTTCAGATGGTTGGAGGGGGGGTGTGACTCATATCAGACAGTGACAATGGCTGCTTTTAGAGACACTGATTAACACTCAGCATGTGATGATGACCCCAATTATCTGTCCCTCACAAAGTGCTAACAGGCACAGATTACAATACAACATTCATCGTTTCATCATGGCCATCTTGTAATGTAGTGTTTTATATTGAGTTTGTTTGGTTCAACTTTTTCTTCAGGGACAAAGTATGCTTGATATACATTCAAAGCATTCTACACGGAAAGTAAGTACTGAATAACAGGTCGGTTAACAAATGGTACTCATAAACTTTAAAATAATCATATTTTAATAAATTACATACAAAAAAACGGATTCGAAACACAGAGAGGTTGGACATCAAAAAGTGACAAAACAAAGCAGCTGAAAATATATCACCAAATACTGAAAAAACTAATTGAAATCAACTAAAAGGTAGTAATCAAAACATTCATTGAAATCAAACATTGAACGACAACAATACATTTACTATGCACAGGAACTGCATAGGCTGACAGCTAACATAATAATACTAGCCATAAGAGATGGAGTGAGATGAGATAAAGGGAGAGAAGGATTGAGAGATGGAGGGAGAGATGGCAGGAGAAGTGGAGCGAGGGATGGAGGCTCCTCAGAGGAGGTTGTGGAGGAGGGCGGTGGCTAGGGCGGTGAGGGTCAGGCTGAGGGAGGAGACGGCAGCAGAAGCAGTGGCACTCTGGAAAGGCACTGTGTGCTTCAGCATCCACTTCTTCTCCTCTGTCAGGCCCTGCTTGTCCAGCTCCGCCCCCATTAGCTCACGTATGGTCAGGTAGTACTTATCCAGCCACTGCAGCTGAAGGGGATAACAGTGGAGACTGGGTCAGTGGGACACAGACACACATGAGCAGCAAACCAGTGACACACACCACAGTAAGCTGGCACGCACACACATAGAGTGGGGAAAAAAAGTATTTAGTCAGCCACCAATTGTGCACGTTCTCCCACTTAAAAAGATGAGAGAGGCCTGTAATTTTCATCATAGGTACACGTCAACTATGACAGACAAAATGAGAAAAATAAATCCTGAAAATCACATTTTAGGATTTTTAATGAATTTATTTGCAGATTATGATGGAAAATAAGTATTTGGTCAATAACAAAAGTTTCTCAATACTTTGTTATATACCCTTTGTTGGCAATGACACAGGTCAAACATTTTCTGTAAGTCTTCACAAGGTTTTCACACACTGTTGCTGGTATTTTGGCCCATTCCTCCATGCAGATCTCCTCTAGAGCAGTGATGTTTTGGAGCTCTCGCTGGACAACACAGACTTTCAACTCCCTCCAAAGATTTTCTATGGGGTTGAGATCTGGAGACTGGCTAGGCCACTCCAGGACCTTGAAATGCTTCTTACGAAGCCACTCCTTCGTTGCCCGGGCGGTGTGTTTGGGATCAATGTCATGCTGAAAGACCCAGCCACGTTTCATCTTCAATGCCCTTGGTGATGGAAGGAGGTTTTCACTCAAAATCTCACGATACATGGCCCCATTCATTCTTTCCTTTACACGGATCAGTCGTCCTGGTCCCTTTGCAGAAAAACAGCCCCAAAGCATGATGTTTCCACCCCCATGCTTCACAGTAGGTATGGTGTTCTTTGGATGCAACTCAACATTCTTTGTCCTCCAAACACGACGAGTTGAGTTTTTACCAAAAAGTTCTATTTTGGTTTCATCTGACCATATGACATTCTCCCAATCCTCTTCTGGATCATCCAAATGCACTCTAGCAAACTTCAGACGGGCCTGGACATGTACTGGCTTAAGCAGGGGGACACGTCTTGCACTGCAGGATTTGAGTCCCTGGCGGCGTAGTGTGTTACTGATGGTAGGCTTTGTTACTTTGGTCCCAGCTCTCTGCAGGTCATTCACTAGGTCCCCCCGTGTGGTTCTGGGATTTTTGCTCACCGTTCTTGTGATCATTTTGACCCCACGGGGTGAGATCTTGCGTGGAGCCCCAGATCGAGGGAGATTACAGTGGTCTTGTATGTCTTCCATTTCCTAATAATTGCTCCCACAGTTGATTTCTTCAAACCAAGCTGCTTACCTATTGCAGATTCAGTCTTCCCAGCCTGGTGCAGGTCTACAATTTTGTTTCTGGTGTCCTTTGACAGCTCTTTGGTCTTGGCCATAATGGAGTTTGGAGTGTGACTGTTTGAGGTTGTGGACAGGTGTCTTTTATACTGACAACAAGTTCAAACAGGTGTCATTAATACAGGTAACGAGTGGAGGACAGATGAGCCTCTTAAAGAAGAAGTTACAGGTCTGTGAGAGCCAGAAATCTTGCTTGTTTGTAGGTGACCAAATACTTATTTTCCACCATAATTTGCAAATAAATTCATTAAAAATCCTACAATGTGATTTTCTGGATCTCAATTTGTCTGTCATAGTTGACATGTACCTATGATGAAAATTACAGGCCTCTCTCATCTTTTTAAGTGGGAGAACTTGCACAATTGGTGGCTGACTAAATACTTTTTTCCCCACTGTACATGCATTTACACATGCCACATGCACCAGTGGAGGCTCCTCAGAGGATGAAAGGGAGGACCATCCTTCTCAGTGAATTTATGAATTTTTTTAAACTGTGAAACCTTAAAAAAGTGATCATTTTTAGATAAAACTATGCTAAATATATTCACATCACCAAATAATTGATTACAACACACTGTTTTGTGATGAAGGTCTACAGTAGCCTCAACAGCACTTTGTAGGGTAGCACCATTGTGTAGCCGGAGTACAGCTAGTTTCCGTCATCCTCTGGGTACATTGACTTCAATACAAAACCTAGGAGGCTCATGGCTCTCACCCCCTTCCATAGACTTACACAGTAATTATGGCAACTTGGTTAGCTACCTGCAGATTCATGCAGGGCAGTAACGTCATGAGTTGGTATTGTTAATTGTTTAGCTAGCTAGCTAATGTTAGCTGGCTGGCTTGCTAGCTAACGTTACATGTACTATCTTGTTATTCATTTCTCAGAGCCATTTGCTTGGCTAGTTATAGCCTAATGTTAGCTAGCTAACATTGAACCTGGTTGGTTAGCTACCTGCAGATTCATGCAGGGTAGTAACGTCATGATTTGGGATTATGGTCAATTGTTTACCTAGCTAGCTAGCTAAATTTCTTAACAAAAGACTCCACTATGCAAGTAAACATTTCGGGTGCGTTCGTAAATTCATTCTGAGTATGCCAGATCGCAGAATAACTGATGAATTTACGAACGCTCAACACCCGTTGAATATGGCCGTGTCAGTAAATGTTGGCAAAAAAGCGTAGTTATATTGTTGCCAGCAGCACAGTTACAGTCACCAACGCTCTGAATAACATGAACACAGTCTAACCAGCTCTGCTAGGGTGAGTAAAATGGTCAGTGGGGTGTTCTCTCATTAAATGGGTGCTTAGCTTGGGTGCTTCACTGCCGTTGTGAGGTCAGAACGCTCGGATCAACCCTACTCCTCAGCCAGAGCGTCCAGTGTGCACTCTGAACGTTCCGAGAGTGAAACGAGATGGGTGGGACTAAAGCTTAACAGGGTGTGAACGATGCTGAATGGGTGTAGACAAAGAAGAGCTCTTCAGTAGGTACCAAAACATTCAACCATTTTGTAGCTCTGTGTCTCTGCTTTTATCCAATGTAAAAAACACAATTTCAAATTTTGCTACATAAGACCGAATCAAGGCGGTTGGTCACATATACACACACAGTGAATGTATATATTTTTTCTCTTGCTTTGTTTGCTCTTTTCCATATTATGTCTATGGCTGATGAGCTACCCAGGAAAGGGCTGAACATAGCTCATATTAATATATGTAGCCTTAGAAATAAGGTTAATGAAATCAATAACTTGCTAACATCAGAAAACATTAATATATTAGCCATATCAGTAGCAATACACGGATATAACATCTATAGAAGAGACAGGAATGCTTATGGGGGAAGGGTTGCTGTATATATTCAGAGCCATATCCCTGTAATGCTTAGAGAAGATCTTATGTCAAGTGTTGTGGTTGCAGGGTCACCTGGCACATCTAAAGCCTTTTGGGGTGTTGCTATAGGCCACCAACTGCTAACAGTCAGTATCTAAATAATGTGTGTGAAATGCTTGATAGTGAATGTGATGTAAACAGAGAGGTCTAATTTCATGGGGACCTGAATATTGACTGGTTTTCATCAAGCTGTCCGCTCAAGAGGAAGCTTCTCACTGTAATCAGTGCCTGTAATCTGGTTCAGGTTATTAATCAACCGACCAGGGTGTTTACAAACACTACAGGAACAAGATCATCCACATGTATTGATCACATTTTTACTAATACTGTAGAACTTTGTTCTAAAGCTGTATCCGAAACCCATTGGATGCCGTGATCACAATATAGTGGCTACATCCAGGAAAGCCAAAGTTCCAAAAGCTGGACCTAAAATAGTGTATAAGAGATCATACAAAATATTTAGCTATGCCTCTTATGTGGATGATGTTAAAAATATTTGTTGGTCTGATGTGATTAATAAGGAGCATCCAGACGCTGCACTTGATGAATTTATGAAATTGTTACTTCCAATTATTGATAAACATGCGCCTGTTAAGAAACTGTCTGTTAGAACTGTTAAGGCTCCATGGATTGATGAGGAATTGAAAAACTGTATGGCTGAAAGAGATGGGGCAAACCGAGTGAATAATAGGTCTGACTGGCTGACTTACTGGAAATTGAGACATTTTGTGACCAAAGTCAACAAAAAGAAGTAGAAACTGTATTATGAAGTCAAGATCAATGATATAAAGAATGATGGGAAAAAAACATTGGAGTACTTTAAATGAAATGATGAGCAGAAAGACAAATTCATCTCCACCTTTCATCGAATCAGATGGCTTATTCATCACAAAACCATTTGCCAATTATTTTAATGATTACTTAATTGGCAAAGTGGGCAAATTTAGGCAGGAAGTGCCAACAACGAACGGTGAGCCATCGTACTCGTATTAAAAAACAAATAATGAAAGAAAAGCATTGCAAGTTAGAATTGTGTAAAGTTAGTGTGGGAGAGGTGGAAAAAATATTGTTACCGATCAATAATGATAAACCTCCTGGCATTGACAACTTAGATGGAAAGCTACTGAGGATGGTAGCTGACTCTATAGCCACTCCTCTCTGTCATATCTTTAATCTGAGTTTAAAGGAAAGTCTTTGTCCTCAGGCCTGGAGGGAAGCCAAAGTCATTCCGCTACCCAAGAGTGGTAAAGCTGCCTTTACTGGTTCTAACAGCAGACCTACAGCTGTATCAGCTTGCTGTCAGCTCTTCGCAAACTGTTGGAAACATTTTTGTTTGATCAAATACAATGCTACTTCCCTGTAAACAAATTAACAACAGACTTTCAGCATGCTTATAGAGAAGGGCACTCAACATGTACTGAAATGACACAAATGACTGATGATTGGTTGAAAGAAATTGATAATAAGAAGATTGTGGGAGCTGTACTGTTAGATTTCAGTGCAGCCTTTGATATTATTACCTCTTGTTGAGAAAATGTATGTGTTATGGCTTTTCAACCTCTGCCATATCGTGGATTCAGAGCTATCTATCAACAAAAAAAACTCAGAGGATTTTCTTTAATGGAAACGTCTCTAATGTACTGCAGGGCAGCTCTCTAGGCCCTCTACTCTTGTCTATTTTTACCAAAGACCTGCCACTGTCATTAAACAAAGTATGTGTGTCCATGTATGCTGATGATTCAACCAAATACACATCAGCAACCACAGCTAATGAAGTCACTGAAGCCCTTAACAAAGAGTTGCAGACTGTTTTGTAATATGTGGCTAGTCATAAACTGCTTCTGAACATCTCTAAAACTAAGAGCATTGTAGTTGGTACAAATCATTCTAGACCCTCAGCTGAATCTGGTAATGAATGGTGTGGCTGTTGAACAAGTTGAGGAGACTAAATTACTTGGTGTTACCTTAGATTGTAAACTGTCATGGTCAAAACATATAGATTCAATGGTTGTAAAGATGGGGAGAGGTCTGTCCGTAATAAAGAGATACTATGCTTTTTTGACACCACACTCCACAAAGCAAGTCCTGCAGGCTCTAGTTTGATCTTATCTTGATTATTGTATGGTCAAGCGCTGCAAAAGAAAGACCTAGTTAAGCTGCAGCTGGTCCAGAACAGAGTGGCACGTCTTGCTCTTCATTGTAATCAGAGGGCTAATATTAATACAATGCATGCCAGTCTCTCTTGTCTAAGAGTTGAGGAAAGACTGACTGTGTCACTTCTTGTTCTTTTAAGAAACATTAATGTGTTGGTATTTCCTAATTGTTTGCATAGTCAACTTACACACATCACTGACACACACACACTTACCCCACCAGACATGCCACTAGAGGTCTTTTCACAGTCCCCAGATCCAGAACAAATTCAAGGAAATGTACAGTATTATACAGAGCCATGAGTGCATGGAACTCCCTACCATCTTATATAGCGCAAGTGAACAGCAAACCTGGTTTCAAGTGAACAGCAAACCTGGTTTCAAGTGAACAGCAAACCTGGTTTCAAAAAACAAATAAAGCAACACCTCACGGCACAATGCCTCTCCCCCGTGACCTACTTGTGTGTATGTATTGACATATATGTGTAACTGATAGATGCACACACACACACTACATGTTAATGTTTTTAAATGCATGGAAATTGTAAAGTATTTTGTCTGTGATGTATTTTTCGTTATACGTCAGACCCCAGTAAGACTAGCTGTCGCCATTGGCGTCGGCTAATGGGGATCCTAATAAATCAAATCAAAACAGTAGCAGTACTAAAATAGGACATGTGTGACCCATTTCAAGAAGCTATGCGCATGTTGCACATCACTACTTCACAGGAGAGACATTTTAAAGTTTTTATGGCTTTTACAGTAGTCATATTATGTGTGTGTCCAGAAATAGTGTGAGATTCACTTTTAGTGACAGGTGTAGCTAACTTTATTCAAACTGCATAATATATGAGCACTGTTTACAATAAAACAAGGCAGCACGGCTGAACATAAAGGAGTAGATTACGGATCAAGCTACATGTACAAAATGAAAGTGCTGGCTTTGTTTTCTCTGAGACCACGAATAGAAAGTAATATCACTGCTGATAAACTTCATACGTGGTTTCTCCAAAAAAACTTGCAGGTCTTGAAAGCTGCCTGAAAACTATGAGGGGGATTTTCAGAGGAAACCCACACTATCAGCATGAATACACCTCAACCTGTCAGTCTGAAGCTCTAATGTGTATTTACCTCATGCTATCATACTAGATGTCACAGATAATTGAACCTTTCAATGTTTTTGAACCTTCAGTCATAACTATAATGCAGTCATAATAATGATCTAATGTACATCACAGAGATCATATCAAATTACACATTTTACAAAGTGGGATTCTATATAATAAATAACAAATATTTAAATTTAAATATATATTAAATTACATTAAATATGTAATTGTATGATGGACATCATGTCAGTCTTAATTCAGTTGTTAATTAAGCTGACACTAGCTGTGATGACTGGTGAGGATGTTTTATCATGACTGCTGATGATGTGATATCTGCTGTCATTGCAGTAAGTAGGCCTCATGACAGAGGGTACAAGTTAAGTGTCAACACCATGTGTTTCTTACCTGTTGTGGGCTCATGAGAGCGGTGTCAATCAGCTTCCTGTCATACGGGACTAATGACACAGTCTCAAAGGTCAGGTAATTATGGCCATACTGCAGGAGACAAATACACAAAGGGTAGAAAGTCAATGATTGTCACAGTCTTTGGCCACATTCCTAGCGGACTACATTGCAGACACATGCCAGATCTCACAACCATTGTATGTGTGATGTAAGTGCCTTAATGTGCTTGGACCCCAGGAAGAGTAGCTGCTGCCTTGGCACCAGCTAATGGGAATCCCTAATAACTACAAATACAAATGGGTTTAACTTATCAGCAAACCACATCATATAATATAGCAATCTGATGTCGACTGCGCAGTCGATGACGTGGCACACAACTATTGGTTGATACAATGCCTGAAGCCGGGCTGGAACACAACCGTTGACATCCCTTATGGAAAAGTCACGTCTCATGAAGCCGATTTCACACGTGAAACTCATGATTTTCGGACATTTCACAGGTAAAAATCGCACATTTGGAAACACGTCATTTTCAGACATTCTACATTTGACATCTGACAATTGACGTCATATTATGGATAGCTAGAATCTTTTCACAGCTTTAATACATCCCCATCATAGTTAAATGTTATTAATATTTACCCACACTTATCTGGTATTTCCACATGTTTAATAAAAATGCTGTAGTTAAATAGTTTATCTACCTTTGTGTGAGCTGGCACGATGACGACAACATCTTCAATACGGATCCCAAAGTCATTTTCCTTGTAATATCCTGGTTCTGGAATAGATACAACCTGCTCATGAAATAAAGGTTTCCATTCTCTTCCTATTCATTCAAGTCAAAATGGCAGCTAAAAAATCTAAATGAACCTTATGATGAACCTCAAGATGTTAATTGAAGATAAGGACACACATTTGATTTGGTAAGATCTTACCTATAGACGTGAACATGCCTTCCCGGAATGGAATGTTATTGCTCTGAAAGCCAACAGGCCCTGTGATGGAATAAGATTTGTAAAATCCAAAACTCTATGGTCACATAGAGCTACTTTAATTTCCTTCTGTTATTTTCAATAGTGTATTATTCAAGGATTTTATTTTGCATTTAGATAAAATAATACAGTGTGATTGGCACATTTCTTTCAAGTCACCTTGACTACAATGAAATCATAACAACTCTGAATATCAGTATCATAAAACGATACTAAAGATGATAGACTAAAAAGATACAATAAGTAAAGCAATTATACACTCATGGACGCCAAAGTAGTTTCCCACGCCGTGACCCGTTCCATGGCCGTAGTTCAGGCCCACTTCCCACAATGCCCGGCGCCCCAGCATCTCCATGTTGACACCTGTTGATAAACAAAAGCGTTAACGTGCCCTGGTGTAAAACATCCTTCAAGCCTTTACAACCACTTCTTGTTGGCATACTTTAAAACATGTATTTTTACTTCCTCTCTTGAAGTAATCACTGATTTAACACAACCGTGAAAGTAAAGGTTCCCTCATATACCTTTCACAAATACAGTCATGTCAGATCAGCGATCTCAAAGAAGGAAAGATGCATTTTCAAAGTATTCAACAAACAGGGCCTCAGACAGACCCAATGTACTTTTTGTAAAATAACCACAAAATCACCTTGCTAGGGGACTAGTGAAAAAAGAGGGCCCTCTTGTGGTTGTATAGAATATCACTCGTATGCTTTTACATATCCACCAGTAGTAACCTCTGACAGTGTGACGTGAATGAACATCTGCTTCGGTGCAGTTGTAAATTGCATTGCACTCACCTTTTGTCCCTGAGGGGAAGATGGTCCGAGAGATCTCAATATTTCCCATGAGCACACGAGTGAAGGCTTCCTTTGATGTGAGAGAACGGTGTTGATCAGAGAATTGGTTTGAAATTATGAGATTAGACGTATGAAATAACTATAGGCTACATAAAGGTATACAGTGGGGAGAACAAGTATTTGATACACTGCCGATTTTGCAGGTTTTCCTACTTACAAAGCATGTAGAGGTCTGTAATTTTTATCATAGGTACACTTCAACTGTGAGAGACGGAATCTAAAACAAAAATCCAGAAAATCATATTGTATGATTTTTAAGTAATTCATTTGCATTTTATTGCATTACATAAGTATTTGATACATGAGAAAAGCAGAACTTAATATTTGGTAGAGAAACCTTTGTTTGCAATTACAGAGATCATACGTTTCCTGTAGGTCTTGACCAGGTTTGCACACACTGCAGCAGGGATTTTGGCCCACTCCTCCATACAGACCTTCTCCAGATCCTTCAGGTTTTGGGGCTGTCGCTGGGCAATACAGACGTTCAGCTCCCTCCAAAGATGTTCTATTGGGATCAGGTCTGGAGACTGGCTAGGCCACTCCAGGACCTTGAGATGCTTCTTACGGAGCCACTCCTTAGTTGCCCTGGCTGTGTGTTTCGGGTCGTTGTCATGCTGGAAGACCCAGCCACGACCCATCTTCAATGCTCTTACTGAGGGAAGGAGGTTGTTGGCCAAGATCTCGCGATACATGGCCCCATCCATCCTCCCCTCAATACGGTGCAGTCGTCCTGTCCCCTTTGCAGAAAAGCATCCCCAAAGAATGATGTTTCCACTTCCATGCTTCACGGTTGGGATGGTGTTCTTGGGGTTGTACTCATCCTTCTTCTTCCTCCAAACACGGCGAGTGGAGTTTAGACCAAAAAGCTCTATTTTTGTCTCATCAGACCACATGACCTTCTCCCATTCCTCCTCTGGATCATCCAGATGGTCATTGGCAAACCTCAGATGGGCCTGGACATGCGCTGGCTTGAGCAGGGGGACCTTGCGTGCGCTGCAGGATTTTAATCCATGACGGCGTAGTGTGTTACTAATGGTTTTCTTTGAGACTGTGGTCCCAGCTCTCTTCAGGTCATTGACCAGGTCCTGCCGTGTAATTCTGGGCTGATCCCTCACCTTCCTCATGATCATTGATGCCCTACGAGGTGAGATCTTGCATGGAGCCCCAGACTGAGGGTGATTGACCGTCATCTTGAACTTCTTCCATTTTCTAATAATTGCGCCCACAGTTGATGCCTTCTCACCAAGCTGCTTGCCTATTGTCCTGTAGCCCATCCCAGCCTTGTGCAGGTCTACCATTTTATCCCTGATGTCCTTACACAGCTCTCTGGTCTTGGCCATTGTGGAGAGGTTGGAGTCTGTTTGATTGAGTGTGTAGACAGGTGTCTTTTATACAGGTAACGAGTTCAAACAGGTGCAGTTAATACAGGTAATGAGTGGAGAACAGGAGGGCTTCTTAAAGAAAAACTAACAGGTCTGTGAGAGCCGGAATTCTTACTGGTTGGTAGGTGATCAAATACTTATGTCATGCAATAAAATGCAAATTAATTACTTAAAAATCATACAATGTGATTTTCAGGATGTTTTAGATTCCATCTCACACAGTTGAAGTGAACCTATGATAAAAATTACAGACCTCTACATGCTTTGTAAGTAGGAAAACCTGCAAAATCAGCAGTGTATTAAATACTTGTTCTCCCCACTGTATATCAGGTATAAAGGTCATTTATATATCTACATATTCATTTGACAGAGGTAATACAATTTCACTTAGGGCCCCCAAAAGGCTAGGGCCGGCTCTGACTGCATGTGTTCGTATGGATGTGGGTACGCAGAACCGCACGCCACTGCGGCCCCTCATGATGAGTTCAGATTTTTTTGTGGCCCCCACCCCCATCAAAGTTGCCCATCCCTGGTATATACAGCTGAAGTCAGAAGTTTACATACACATTAGCCAAATACATTTCAACTCAGTTTTTCACAATTCCTGACATTTAATCTTAGTAAAAATTCCCTGTCTTAGGTCAGTTAGGATCACCACTTTATTTTAAGAATGTGAAATGTCAGAATAATGGTAGAGAGAATTATTTATTTCAGCTTTTATTTATTTCATCACATTCCCAGTGGGTCAGAAGTTTACATACACTCAATTAGTATTTGGTAGCATTGCCTTTAAATTGTTTAACTTAGGTCAAACGTTTCGTGTAGCCTTCCACAAGCTTCCCACAATAAGTTGGTTGAATTTTGGCCCGTTCCTCCTGACAGAGCTGGTGTAACTGAGTCAGGTTTGTAGGCCTCCTTGCTCACACGCTTTCTCAGTTCTGCCCACACATTTTCCATAGGATTGAGGTCAGGGCTTTGTGATGGCCACTCCAATACCTTGACTTTGTTGTCCTTAAGCCATTTTGCCACAATTCTGGAAATATGCTTGGGGTCATTGTCCATTTGGAAGAACCATTTGCGACCAAGCTTTAACTTCCTGACTGATGTCTTGAGATGTTGCTTCAATATATCCACATACTTTTCCTTCCTCATGATGCCATCTATTTTGTGAAGTGCACCAGTCCCTCCTGCAGCAAAGCACCCCCACAGCATGATGCTGCCACCCCTATGCTTCACGGTTGGGATGGTGTTCTTCAGCTTGCAAGGCACCCCCTTTTTCCTCCAAACATAACGATGGTCATTATGGCCAAACAGTTCTATTTTTGTTTCACCAGACCAGAGGACAGTTTTCCAAAAAGTACGATCTTTGTCCCCATGTGCAGTTGCAAACCGTAGTCTGGCTTTTTTATGGTGGTTTTGGAGCAGTGGCTTCTTCCTTGCTGAGCGGCCTTTCAGGTTATGTCGATATAGGACTCGTTTTACTGTGGATATAGATACTTTTGTACCTGTTTCCTCCAGCATCTTCACAAGGTCCTTTGCTGTTGTTCTGGGATTGATTTGCACTTTTCGCACCAAAGTACGTTCATCTCTAGGAGACAGAACGCGTCTCCTTCCTGAGCAGTATGACAGCTGCGTGGTCCCATGGTGTTTATACTTGCGTACTATTGTTTGTACAGATTAACGTGGTACCTTCAGGTGTTTGGAAATTGCTCCCAAGGATGAACTGGACTTGTGGAGGTCTACAATTTTCTTTCTGAGGTCTTGGCTGATTTCTTTAGATTTTCCCATGATTTCAAGCAAAGAGGCACTGAGTTTGAAGGTAGGACTTGCAATACATCCATAGGTACACCTCCAATTGACTCAAATTATGTCAATTAGCCTGTCAGAAGCTTCTAAAGCCATGACATCATTTTCTGGAATTTTCCAAACTTTTTAAAGGCACAGTCAACTTAGTGTATGTAAACTTCTGACCCACTGGAATTGTGATACAGTGAATTATAAGTGAAATAATCTGTCTGTAAACAATTGTTGGAAAACTTGTGTCATGCACAAAGTAGATGTCCTAACCGTCTTGCCAAAACTATAGTTTGTTAACAAGAAATTTGTGGAGTGGTTGAAAAACGAGTTTTTTAATGACTCCAACCTAAGTTTATGTAAATTTTCAACTTCAACTGTATAAAGCTACTTAGCCCCATAGGGCCACCTGTACCTTCTGCATCTCGTTGGGGGTCCCCCAGTGAACAGTTCGTGTGATGTCAGTGGTCCCATCTCTATGGATTTCAAGAACACAAGTCATGGCTCACATTTGATTCAATATGGATAATAACTGAAATATATACTGCAAGTGTTTACCATAGAGATCCTATTAAATTGCTAATCTAATGTGTTATTTGTAATTCTATGGTGATAACTACATTCTCAACTATAGTGAGAAAGCTTCTCTACTCACAGATACTGGCCACCAGAGTCCACCAGGTACATCTCATCAACAGTAAGCTTTCTGCTGGTTGCATTAGAAGGGCTATAACACAACGTTTGTGACAAAACAATAGAGTTAGTGGTACTGTGAGGCAGATACTAAGCAAAAACATTAGGAGACAAGGTGGAAAAGAAAGTTCTAGATACCTATAGTGGGCCAGAGCAGCATTGGGCCCACTGGCAGATATGGTTTCAAAGCTTGGCCCCCTGCTGTCCTTCTGCTTGCTGTCAAGTGTCAAAGATAGTGTTAGCGATTAAGTGTGTGTGTCTGCTTAAGTGTGTGTGCGTGCACACATGCATGTGTGTGTGTGTCTTCTCCCCACCTGCGACACTCATTGACATAATATGCTGCTGTCATCTCTGTCTCTTTCCCCTCTGGTACAACTTTTTCCAGCCACATCAGTAGCTGTATGACTGCCACAGCATCCCTCACCTACGGAGAGCAAGAGAGGACAATCAGACCACACAAGGTTTTCTCCTTTTGCAACAGAGGAGTAGGATGACGTTACCCCTGAACCCTGGGGCTGTATGTTTCAATCGTCTCAAAGTAGGACTGCTGATCTAGGATCAGGTCCATGTAATCTTATTAATTGCAATCTAAAAGATAATACTGATCCTAAATCAGAACTCCTATTCTGAGATAGTTGATAAATACGGCCCCTGATCTCAGATCAGCTTTCTGTTTTTTCCCCACAGTGGTTGAGATTTTCAAACTGGTGGAGGTTAGGATTTGTAATGGTTTAGGTTAGGGTGTGTAAGGGTTTAGGTTAGGGTGTGTAATGTTTGAGGTTATGGTGTGTAATGTTTGAGGTTAGGGTGTGCAATGGTTGAGGTTAGGGTTTGTAAGCTGATTACTAGATCTGATTCAAAGGACAACTTCCATCCAGAGTCATAATCCATACAAACACCTTGACATTATGGCCCATATGAAATGTGAATGCCATGACAACAGTCTGTCATATCTTACTGCCGAGCTCAGATCTGTATCTTTATTTGGATCCCCATTAGCTGACAGCCATGACGACAGGAATAGAGGAATTTATAACAACACCATAAATGTAAGGGCTTTATTGGTGCCAATCATAAAAACTGACTTTAATGGTCATGGATAGAAGACAGAAAATCTTAGACAGGATATCCCATGAAGGGTATTGAAAGCACTAATGCAAACTTATGCAATCTTGCCTCCAATATAACAATCCCCATATGGAAAAGTATGGCTTGTTGAGATGAACTGATAACACATTGGATCTGAATGCTCGCAGACAGCTATTGGAGCCACTGGCGTCTCTGTTGTGAGACTTTATGGCTTAATAAGAGCACAACTCAATAAAGAGAGGGAATAGGGAGTCTTGTGTTTTCATCTGTGTGTGTGTGTGTGTGTGTGTGTGTGTACATGTTTTCCTACCTTATCAGGACCATAATGTCCTGACAAGTCACCAGAATGTCCTGACAAGGTAGGAAAACAAGAATAGTTCTGAATTAGTTAAAATGCTATTTTAGTCTTAACGGTTTGATTTGGGGTTTGGGGTTAAGGTTAGGGTTAGGAGTTAGGGAAAATAGGTGTGTGTGTCACATACATGAGCGTCTCTCAGGATGTGCTGCTCTGTCTTGTCCTTCACTGCTTTAGTGGTCAGCACCGGGGAGTAGGCACTGGTCAGTAGCTTCTCCTAAAATGGAGGGGTAGAGAGATATGGTTTTAATACTCTCCGTTCATACTCATGTACACGAAATGCGACACAACAACAACCTACTTCTACAGTAAAGTGTAGGGAGGCGTGATAAATAAATATACCACACATTGAAAGAACCTTTCCCAGTCACTGAGGGGTGTAATAATAGGTTATATACCACCCCTGTCCTCACTTCTGGAGTGATGAGCTCGTACAGGGCATAGTTGGTGTACTCTGTTCCGATCCACACTTTTACACCAAGTCTGGTCATGTAGTTCTTCAGCATTGTCCGCACTTGGTCATATTCTAACAACTGCACACAGTGGGCCAGGTAACAAGTGGAGTTCAAGTATAACTTCAAGTCCTCTGTCACTCTGTCCTTGTGTACAAACAACCTGAGAGGGAGATACAAACAGGCCGACAGACCAATAGGCTCATGAACAACGTTTATGGTACACAAGGGGCACGTTTGAACGTTGTAAAGCAATATTTTACATGATGAAAAGGACTTCAGACCCACCAGATCTCATTTAAGGTCAGTAGTGTGTAGGAGTAGAAGAAGGGGTTGAAGGGCACATCATTACCACGCAGATTAAACAGCCCTGAAACAGAGCAGATAAGAAGACTGAAATGAAGACTTCAAATGATTAAATGTTAAGTGAATGAATATGAATGTGGAGTGTCCAGGTTTGACGTTCTTACAGGCAGTCTCATCAAGAGCAGAGAGCAGGACCGCTGTGGGCTTGTAAGGATTTTCTGTCATCTGAGTCCGTATGTGTTCCACTTTCATCTGCCAGGTCCTCTCTGTCAAATGGGTGTGTGTCGGCGCCAGAGGAGAAAACACACACAAACAGACTCTGGGTCACCATAATGGCCATTAGTTTTATGATCCCTCCATTTACTTACGGTCTAACAGTGGAGTGTATTCATGGATGCCAAGGGAAGCCAGGCTTCCCCAACAAATTGACCAAGATTTAAAATAATTTATCTTTCATCACTTGGTGTTTCATAATTTTCCTTCAATTCTTAAGAGGCTGAATGTATCTCACCGGAGAAAGCATCCAAGTGAGTGAAACAGCGCCCCTCTGTCTCTGTATGTGTAGGCCATCTATCTGATGCTGTCAGGTCAAAAAGAGTATGACATTGTTGCCACCTGTAGCATTGAATGCAAGGGAAGCCAGCGAGCATTTGGCCTCCCTTGATAAAAAAGTATAAAATAATAGTCAATCAGCATTGAGCTAAACTGAGCGAGCTCATCTGTGAATGGTCCTGGTGCACCAAAAAAAAGTGTAAAGTGAAGCCAGTTTAGATTTGGCTTCACTCCAATCACATCACTTCAAGAGCAATATGTCATTGACAGAAACAACTTGAATTGTTGCATCTCTTTGTGTTGTTGTCCTCCGGTGGCTAGCTAAAATTGGCCCTTTCCTAAATTAGCCATAGATGGAGATAGGTATTTGGACTTGTGGTTTTACTTAATTCTCCGTACTGGCCAATGATTATAACGGCGATTCTGATCCAACCATAAATTCCTACAATGTGCCAATGTGGCCTGAGAGGATGGAAGTTCAATATGTAGCTAGATGTAAGTCGCTCTGGATAAAAATAAAAGCGTGTACTGTATGACAGAGTCATAGACCATTTCGTAAACATAAAGAGAGAAAGATGGCATTGGCGTTTCTCTACAAGTAGGGTGAGTCAACATGTTTTTTGTACTTGCATGAACGCACGCACACACACAGAAATCAGAACCATGGACAGCCACATCATATTTAGCTTACGTTGATTGGACTAAATTGTTTTTGGTATCTTTGAGTTGTCACTACATTAGATTAAGCACAGGTGATTTGATTATGTTAAAATGTTGAAGTTAAAATGGTGCTGGAATAGTGGAGGCAGCTCCTGTTTTCTTTGGGACTTGCGGTTACTCTCCGTGGTTCTAAATCAATAGTTGTTTAGTAGTCCAAACATGTTGGAAACATTAACTTGCTTGACCATGCTGTAGGTCATGTTATTGTTTGTTACATGTAATATGCTTTGTGGACTTCATTGGACAGAGGTTGCTCTCCGGTTTTGTGATGAAACAAAGGTGTGGTTGAATTTTTATGTCTCAGCCTTAGGCCTATACAGTATGTGACAGTCGAAAGGCATATGAACAAACAGGTTATAGAGCAAACAATGCAATTATCACAACACATAGGTTGTAATATGGCTATTTTATTTCTGGCTTGGCTTCCTCAGTGATTTTACCCACGCACTGCTACTGCTGTCTAATCATGATAATAGGAACCAAAAAGGTAAAACCATAGAGAAAACACAAATGACATTATGCTATAGAGACCTCTGATTATTCACTGTTAATGGTTTATACACATTTTCCATGAATTCTCCGTAGACTTTTAACCACATTTTCATGACTATTATTATAGCCTACATGAAAAAGTAAGCATTATTGACACTGGAAAGCTGCTGTGTCTGATGCAGTGTAGACCTACCACTTCCTGCCATGTTGCACTTGATCAAGGCACTTAGCCCCCCACATAGAACTGCACTGTTAGTCACATGTTGTCAACATGTGGTCAACCCTCCATCTGGAGAGCTCCTGGGTGTGAAGGTTTGGTTTTTGAAACAGCCCTGAAACACCCAAGTCTGCTTATCGAGGTCCTGTTGAGCAGCTGATTGATTGATCATATTTAAAAGTGTGCTTTCATGAATTACATTAACAACATTTATGAAACTAATTTCCATTACTTTTCATGACTTTACAAACCATAATTTGACAATTTGGAACAGCGCATCATGCCATTCAGGCGGGCTCATTTTCAATCTGTGCAATCTCGAACAGCCTACTGTCACAGATTCACAGACTAGCAGCAAATAAACTTGAACAAAGCGGAAACAGGAAATGAATGCCCACTCTCCCTTGCTATTCAGTGAAGATCCCATCTTCATTCTGGTTTGATAAAAAATGTTTTGCCTCAGTGTGTGAATCTGGGCCAGTCATAGGCTACTTTGTTTTTATAGAGGAGCTGGTACGCAATTCCCCCAAAATTAGATTTGCCAGTATGCGTTCAGGACAGCTCCGGCCCAAATCAAGCACTGAGTATCAGTGATTATTATCTGGGGAAACACACAGAGACAAGACTAATGGTACAACCCCATTCATTGGCCCCTTTCCACATAGTAATTACCTGCAGTGATAGCCAGCCATAAGCAATTAAAGGGGATGTTAATGACAGTTTGTGAGCCTATGGCTTTCTGCGCTGTTAGCAAGTATTTATCTATTCATCAGCCCAGAGCTAAGGGAACTGCACAGTAACTTACTCACTCACTCACACACTCAACACACGCACACACTCACACACATGGATAGACACTGACACACACACACCTACGACTCTGTCGGGCAGGCGGATGAGGTTATCAGGAGGGATGGGGGGTCTGTCTGTCCACACTCTGTCCACCAGGTTGTCAGGTAAGGACTTCAGCATTAGCTTGGCTGGAACTAGGTTGTAGCTGTAGGACTCATAGGTTTCTATGGGGGGTGGAAAAGACAACCATTATACTGTAGTACATCCTGAAGGGATCACATACACAGCATATATGCACTCACTGTAGTTTAAGTCATTTTGGATAAAAGCATCTGCTAGCTGGCATATATAGTGGCATATACAGTGCATTCGGAAAGTATTCAGACCCTTTCCCTTTTTCCACATTTTGTTACGTTACAGCCTTATTCTAAAATGGATTAAATAAATACAAATCCTCATCAATCTACACACAATACTCCATAATGACAAAGTGAAAACAGGTTGTTAGAAATGTTTGCAAATGTATTAAAAATATAAAACAGAAATACCTTATTTAAATAAGTATTCAGACCCTTTGCTATGAGACTCGAAATTGAGCTCAGGTGCATCCTGTTTCCATTGATCATCCTTGAGATGTTTCTACAACTTGATTGGGTCCACCTGTGGTAAATTCAATTGATTGGACATGATTTGGAAAGGATCACACCTGTCTATATAAGGTCCCACAGTTGACAGTGCATGTCAGTTGAAGCTCGCATCCGCTACAAGACCATGGTGCTTGCCTATGGAGCAGTGAGGGGAACGGCACCTCTGTACCTTCGGGCTCTGATCAGTCCCTACACCCAAACGAGGGCATTGCGTTCATCCACCTCTGGCCTGCTGGCTCCCCTTCCTCTGCGGAAGCATAGCTCCCGCTCAGCCCAGTCAAAACTGTTCGCTGCTCTGGCACCCCAATGGTGGAACAAGCTCCCTCACGACGCCAGGATAGCGGAGTCACTCACCACCTTCCGGAGACATTTGAAACCCCACCTCTTTAAGGATTACCTGGGATAGGATAAAATAATCCTTCTACCCCCCCCCCCCAAAAAAAATTTGTAAAGTGGTTATCCCACTGGCTATAGGGTGAACGCACCAATTGGTGAGTCGTTCTGGATAAGAGCGTCTGCTAAATGACGTAAATGTGCCCTTGAGCAAGGCACTTAACCCTAATTGCTCCTGTAAGTCGCTCTGGATAAGAGCGTCTGCTAAATGACTAAAATGTAAATGTAATGTCAGAGGAAAAACCAAGCCATGAGGTCGAACGAATTGTCCGTGGAGCTCCAAGACAGGATTGTGTCAAGGCACAGATCTGGAGAAGAGTAACAAAAAAAATTCTGCAGCATTGAAGGTCCCTAAGAACACGGTGGCCTCCATCATTCTTAAATGGAAGAAGTTTGGAACCACCAAGACTCTTCCTAGAGCTGGCCGCCTGGCCAAACTGAGCAATCAGGGGAGAAGGGCCTTGGTCAGGGAGGTGACCAAGAACCCAATGGTCACTCTGACAGAGCTCCAGAGTTCCTCTGTGGAGATGGGAGAACCTTCCAGGACAACCATCTCTGCAGCACTCCACCAATCAGGCCTTTATGGTAGAGTGGCCAGACGGAAGCCACTCCTCAGTAAAAGGCACATGACAGCTCGCTAGGAGTTTGCCAAAAGGCACCTAAAGGACTCTCAGACCATGAGAAACAAGATACTCTGGTCTGATGTAACCAAGATTTAACTCTTTGGCCTGATTGCCAAACTTCACGTCTGGAGGAAACCTGGCACCATCCATACGATGAAGCATGGTGGTGGCAGCATCATGCTGTGGGGATGTTTTTCAGCAGCAGGGACTGGGAGACTAGTCAGGATCAAGGGAAAGATGAACGTAGCAAAGTACAGAGAGATCCTTGATGAAAGCCTGCTCCAGAGCGCTCAGGATCTCGGACTGGGGCGAAGGTTCACTTTCCAACAGGACAACGATCCTAAGCACACAGCCAAGACAACGCAAGTGGCTTCGGGACAAGTCTCTGAATGTTCTTGAGTGGCCCAGCCAGAGCCCAGACTTGAACCCAATCGATCATCTCTGGAGAGATCTGAAAATAGCTGGGCAGCGACGCTCCCCATCCAACCTGACAAAGCTTGAGAGAGTCTGCAGAGAAGAATGGGAGAAACTCCCCAAATACAGGTGTGCCAAGCTTGTAGCGTCATACCCAAGAAGACTTGAAGCTGTAATCGCTGCCAAAGGTGCTTTAACAAAGTACTGAGTAAAGGGTCTGAATACTTATGTAAATGTCATATTTCAGTTCTTTCTTTTTTTTATAAATGTACAAAAATGTATAAAAACATGTTTTTGCTTTGCCATTATGGGTTATTGTGTGTAGATTGATGAGGGGAAAAAAATATTTAATCAATTTTAGAATAAGGCTGTAACATAACAAAATGCGGAAAAAGTCAAGGGGTCTGAATACATTCAGAATGCACTGTATTAGATAGTACATTAATACTTATTTCAAATTATCGCTATTAAGCGAATGGTCACTACTGTATAACAACTGGTTTTGTTGGTCTTAATAATTAAAATGCCCTATTAATATTTTCCATACGGTTTGGGTTGATGTCTTTATTGATGCTAAACCAAAGTGCCATAGTCTGTCAAGTGTGACATGGATCTTTATGGGCTGCCTTACGGATAGAGAAGAGGAACGGGTCAAAGCCGATGTCGTCAGTGTCCGAAACCTCCCGAATCAGCCAGTCAGTTATACTGCTGATGGATACTGTGGAGCAGAAGCAACAATAGGACAGACATTTATTCCCCACATTTTGAATGATTTCAGAACATCAAGTATGATCGATTAATTAATGAAGAGATTAGCGTGAAATGTATTAAAGTTTTATGCGGATTTAAAACGTATCTGTTGTTGTGCCTGGTGGGAGAAATGTGTTTGAGTAAACATTGTCACAACAGTCATCTTCCTTGCCGAACAGTTTCATTTGTTCAGATTACATAAATTAATGTTGGCCATTTGGGTGCATTGACAATGTGTTTGTTTAAGGTTACCTCTATCATAGCTCTATTATAATAATATACTGAACAAAAATATAAACACAACATGCAACAATTTCAAATATAGTTACAGTTCATATAAGGAAATCAGTCAACTGAAATGAATTCATTAGGCCCTAATCTATGGATTACACATGACTGGGCAGGGGCGCAGCCATGGGTGGGCCTGGGCGGGCATAACCAATCAGAATGAGTTTTTCCAGGCCCAGCCAATCATCGTTTTTCTCCACAAAAGGGCTTTATTACAGACAGAACTACTCCTCAGCACCCCCCCCCCCCCCCTCCCCCCTCTGACGATCTCGCGGGTGAAGAAGCCGGATGTGGAGGCCCTGGGCTGGCGTGGTTACACGTGGTCTGCGGTTGTGAGGTCAGTTGGACGTACTGCCAAATTCTCTAAAACGACGTTAGAGGTGACTTATGGTAGAGAAATGAACATTATCTGGCAACAGCTCTGGTTGACATTCCTGCAGTCAGCATGCCAATTGCACACCCCCTCAAAACATCTGTGGCATTGTGTTGTGACAAAACTGCACATTTTGGCCTTTTATTGTCCCCAGCACAAGGTGCTCCTGTGTAATGACCATACTGTTAAATCAGCTTCTTGATATGCCACACCTGTCAGGTGGATGGATTATTTTGACAAAGGATAAAATGCTCACTAACAGGGATGTAAACAAATTTGTGCAAAAATTTGAGAGAAATAAGCTTTTTGTGCGCATGTAAAATTTCTGGGATCTTTTATTTCAGTTCATGAAACATGGAACCAGCACTTTACATGTTGCATTTATGTTTTTGTTCAGTATACTGTATATTTGATAATACACCGGGTGTGCTACCTTGTCCCAGACCTGCTGTTCGACCCCCTCACTTCCTACCTGCTGCTGCACCTTTCACTTTGAAACTTTGAATGTTTGTTTATGAAAAGCCAACTGACATTGTGTTGAACTGTTGTACCCTCTACAGTCACCATGGTTATTATTTGACCCAGCTGGTCATCTATGAACGTTTGAATGCCTTAAAAAAAAATCTGGTTTTATTGGCCATACAGTATGTACTCATAAATCTCCACCCGGTACAGCCAGAAGAGCCTGGTTTCTCTCTAGGTTTCTTCCTATGTTACTGCGTTCTAGGGAGTTTTTCCTAGACACTGTGCTTCTGCGTCTGCATTGCTTGCTCTTTGGGGTTGTAGACTGGGTACAGTTTCTGTAAAGAACTTTGTGCTGTTGATGATGTAAAAAGGGCTTTATAAAATACATTTGATTGATTAATTTATGGCTTGCATGCCTATCACTGTGTGCTTTCTGTGTGTGTGTTTATGATTGTAATTCCTTTCTCCTTTCGTAGTTCCATTCAGATAGAGATGGGGATTTGAAATGAGAGGAGGAGGCAGACAGGAAAGCAACACAGTCTGCAGCTCTAGTCTAGTCAACACGGTCTGCAGCTCTAGTCTAGACAACACAGTCTGCAGCTCTAGTCTAGTCAACAGTCTGCAGCTCTAGTCTAGACAACACAGTCTGCAGCTCTAGTCTAGTCAACACAGTCTGCAGCTCTAGTCTAGTCAACACAGTCTGCAGCTCTAGTCTAGACAACACAGTCTGCAGCTCTAGTCTAGTCAACACAGTCTGCAGCTCTAGTCTAGTCAACAGTCTGCAGCTCTAGTCTAGTCAATACAGTCTGCAGCTCTAGTCTAGTCAACACAGTCTGCAGCTCTAGTCTAGACAACACAGTCTGCAGCTCTAGTCTAGTCAACAGTCTGCAGCTCTGGTCTAGTCAACACAGTCTGCAGCTCTATTCTAGTCAACACAGTCTGCAGCTCTAGTCTAGACAACACAGTCTGCAGCTCTAGTCTAGTCAACACAGTCTGCAGCTCTAGTCTAGTCAACAGTCTGCAGCTCTAGTCTAGTCAACAGTCTGCAGCTCTAGTCTAGTCAACACAGTCTTAAGCTCTAGTCTAGACAACACAGTCTGCAGCTCTAGTCTAGTCAACAGTCTGCAGCTCTAGTCTAGTCAACACAGTCTGCAGCTCTAGTCTAGTCAACAGTCTGCAGCTCTAGTCTAGTCAACACACTGCAGCTCTAGTCTAGACAACACAGTCTGCAGCTCTAGTCTAGTCAACAGTCTGCAGCTCTAGTTGAGTCAACACAGTCTGCAGCTCTAATCTAGTCAACACAGTCTGCAGCTCTAGTCTAGACAACACAGTCTGCAGCTCTAGTCTAGTCAACAGTCTGCAGCTCTAGTCTAGTCAACACAGTCTGCAGCTCTAGTCTAGTCAACACAGTCTGCAGCTCTAGTCTAGACAACACAGTCTGCAGCTCTAGTCTAGTCAACAGTCTGCAGCTCTAGTCTAGTCAACAGTCTGCAGCTCTAGTCTAGTCAACAGTCTGCAGCTCTAGTCTAGACAACACAGTCTGCAGCTCTAGTCTAGTCAACAGTCTGCAGCTCTAGTCTAGTCAACACAGTCTGCAGCTCTAGTCTAGTCAACACAGTCTGCAGCTCTAGTCTAGTCAACACAGTCTGCAGCTCTAGTCTAGACAACACAGTCTGCAGCTCTAGTCTAGTCAACACAGTCTGCAGCTCTAGTCTAGTCAACAGTCTGCAGCTCTAGTCTAGTCAATACAGTCTGCAGCTCTAGTCTAGTCAACACAGTCTGCAGCTCTAGTCAAGACAAAACAGTCTGCAGCTCTAGTCTAGTCAACAGTCTGCAGCTCTAGTCTAGTCAACACAGTCTGCAGCTCTATTCTAGTCAACACAGTCTGCAGCTCTAGTCTAGACAACACAGTCTGCAGCTCTAGTCTAGTCAACAGTCTGCAGCTCTAGTCTAGTCAACACAGTCTGCAGCTCTAGTCTAGTCAACAGTCTGCAGCTCTAGTCTAGTCAACACAGTCTTAAGCTCTAGTCTAGACAACACAGTCTGCAGCTCTAGTCTAGTCAACAGTCTGCAGCTCTAGTCTAGTCAACACAGTCTGCAGCTCTAGTCTAGTCAACAGTCTGCAGCTCTAGTCTAGTCAACACACTGCAGCTCTAGTCTAGACAACACAGTCTGCAGCTCTAGTCTAGTCAACAGTCTGCAGCTCTAGTTGAGTCAACACAGTCTGCAGCTCTAATCTAGTCAACACAGTCTGCAGCTCTAGTCTAGACAACACAGTCTGCAGCTCTAGTCTAGTCAACAGTCTGCAGCTCTAGTTGAGTCAACACAGTCTGCAGCTCTAGTCTAGTCAACACAGTCTGCAGCTCTAGTCTAGACAACACAGTCTGCAGCTCTAGTCTAGTCAACAGTCTGCAGCTCTAGTCTAGTCAACAGTCTGCAGCTCTAGTCTAGTCAACAGTCTGCAGCTCTAGTCTAGACAACACAGTCTGCAGCTCTAGTCTAGTCAACAGTCTGCAGCTCTAGTCTAGTCAACACAGCCTGCAGCTCTAGTCTAGTCAACACAGTCTGCAGCTCTAGTCTAGTCAACAGTCTGCAGCTCTAGTCTAGACAACACAGTCTGCAGCTCTAGTCTAGTCAACAGTCTGCAGCTCTAGTCTAGACAACACAGTCTGCAGCTCTAGTCTAGTCAACCATCTGCAGCTCTAGTCTAGTCAACACAGCCTGCAGCTCTAGTCTCTTTTTTGCAATAAAGTATCATGCACACAAACTACACACACAATCTACATGTTAATGTTTTTAAATGTATGTAAATTCTAAAGTATTTTGTCTGTAATGTATTTTCCGTTAAATATCGGACCCCAGTAAGACTAGCTATTGCCATTGACATCGGCTAATAGAGATCCTAATAAATCAAATCAAATCATCTTACCATCTCTCTCCAGCTCCCAGTTGCAGTCCATTTGGCGTTCAGCCTGGACCCAGTAGCGACTGTCTGTCCAGAGGACCGCCTTGTTCAGGGTCACCACTGCTGTGCCTGGGGAGGGAGGGTTACATTACACATCATGGAGAGTTGTGTTCAGTTTGAATGATGCATGGCTGTGTGGTCATCTCAGAGTTAAGAGTACTTACATGACAAGTACGTACCAGAGGGACGTACAACAGTACCAATGATCACAAAATGTACCAAATCATTCAAGGAATTTTCATAACACAATCATAACAGCTTTGTAATAGTGGTGTTGACCTCTATTTATATATCGCAAACTGCCAGACTCAGACTAATCTGAACATCTGCCAGATAAAAAAAAAATACTATAAAATTGCTTGTCTTATTCTCAGGGGAGAAATTCTAACTGTGCTTGGAATGATCTATTCATCTGCCTGAGCTCTAGCACAGAAATGGCATTGATCATCCGTTTATGTCAGTGCAATAGTCCAGGAATAGATCTCCCCATCAATCTGTCCAACCTGGACTCAAGGGTAGACTTAACATAGTATACGTAAATCTGTCTCCCTCCATTTAGTATGGTATCTATTAATTTGTGGATGTCCATCATCCATTTCATTTGATATTTTACGAATTACAATTCGTATGATATGTTACGAATTGCAATTTTTACAATATGTTACGAATTTGCAATACATATGATATGTTACGAATTCCAAGTTGTTGTTGCTAATGTTAGCTAGGTTTCTAAAGCTAACGTTAGCTAGGTCGCTAATGTTATCTAGGTGGCTAAAGCTAACATTAGCTAGGTTGCTAATGTTAGCTAGGCTAGGGGTTAAGGTTAGGGTTAAGGTTAGGAGTTAGGTTAAAGGGTTAAGGTCAGGGGAAGGGTTAGCTAACATGCTATGTAGTTGCAAAGTAGCTAAAAAGTAGTAAGTAGTTGCTAATTTGCTCAAGTTGTTCGTGATGAGATTCGAACACACAACCTTTGGGTTGCTAGATGTTCACGTTATACACCCACCTATCAACCCCGACCCACCACCCTCCTTTCATTTTTGCCTTAAGAACCTTTTGTCTTATGTAACGATACCAAATGTAACATATCATACTAATTTCAGTGTCCCGGATTTGAGTTTACTATGTTACTTCTAGTCTATGAGACCAGGCTGATCGGTCTATGGAAGCTCCCTGATTCACAGCTCATCTGTCACTCATCAATGGTTCTGTGAGGGTGGGGGAGGGGGCAGGGAGCTGATGGATGTGAGAAGGAGAAGCAATGAAGATGGAGGAGTGGAAGAGAGGGTAGGAGAAGTGGAGGACAGGGGAGGAATGACTGTGGGACTAGGAGGTAGGAGAGGATAAGGAGGAGGAGGGGAGAGGAGGAGGAGGGGGGGTGAGAGATGAACTGAGAAGTAGAGGTGAGGTGAATGGGAAGGACTAAAACTGAGACAAGAGGAGATGAAGGGGGTGTGGTATTTTAGAACTGAGGGGAGGAGAAGTAGGAGAGGAGGGGAGAAAAAAGAAGGGAGGAAAGGACATAGAGATACCTACCTGCAGAGCCTGTGAAGCCCGACATAAAGGCCATCCGTGCATCACGTGGGGCAATGTACTCACTCTGTAGGAGATACACATGTTGTCAGCACCACACACAACACATACACACACACTTGGTCACCATGCACACACACATGCGTACACACACACACACTCCTACCAGGTGAGCGTCTGTCCCAGGGATGATGTAGGCAGAGACATTGAGAGAACTCATAGCCTCCCTCAAGGCCTGCAGCCGTAGGGTAGTGTTGACCACGGTGGAAGGCAGGTACTGGAACAAACAGAAGACAGGGTGAGAGGGCTGAATTCCAACCATAAAATATGTGTGAATCGCCTATTGACATGAATGCATGATTAACGTGATTGTCAGAGTCACGATGAGTGAATTTCTCAGACTGAATGAGTAAAGTAAAACAACAGTGAAATTGAGCGATATTTAGTGTAGATTCCTTACCCCGTATTCATAAAGCGTTTCAGAATAGAAGTGCTGATCTACGATTAGTTTTTTAAAATAATAAATAATAATTAATCAAATTATATGGACAGGGAGGACCTGATTCTAAATCAGAACGCCTACTCTGAGTTTCTTTATAAATATGGGCCCAGGCTAATTATGCCAATGAGTGAAACTAAGAGTTGTAAAAGCAGGGTTGCATACTGTGTGTCTGACCTGATTATATATTCACTGACCTGACACTCATTCACTACACATTTATTTGAGTCCCCAGAAGGGACATGGTATACAAAGACACATGGTGTAACAGCACTACATCTGACCTAGATCATCATACCGGTGGGATTTTAGAGCAGTTCCTTTCAGACCCAACATCAGCACGAATGACATTCCAGCTTCCTGAAATGAGAAAAAAACAAATGAGGAAGAGACCTTGGAAAGTGACAATTATACTGCTGTGTAAGCACATTCCTAGATCAATGTTGAGTACTGTTGTTGTTCAGTCACTGATTTTATCAGACATTATAGTAAGCGCTGGGATTTGTCCCCCAAAATCAATGTAACTTCATCCAGGGGCAAATGAGGACTAAATGCAATGGTGAGAAAATGCCAAATTGTAGAAGCTCTGCAAGTAGACAAAGAAGAGAGCAGCCAGCCAAATCGTGTATAATAACTTTTATAAAATCACAGTGCAACACGATAGTACTCTCAAACAAGACAATAGAAGCAATCAAAAGATTGACTTCTAAACAACATTTCAGAATGCATAATCATTGATAGAGTGTCATTCTCATTAGATTCATTCTCAGGCAAATTCCATGCAAAGATATTCCAATGAATAATACAACAGGCATGACACAAACAGCAGATGGCAAATTCTAATGTACCCTTTACCAACCAAAAGCCTCTCGCATAGCCTTTCGCACAGAAATCATGCACTGTGCACTTATTAATATGGATACATCAATCATCACATGAAGTTAGAACTAAACTTTTACCTCCAAGTGCCAGAAGAGTGCCAACCAGGAGCCAGTCAGAAAAGGGCATCTTGGCACAAAACTGTCTGCCACCAGCGATTCCACAGAGAGAGTGACGGCTATGCCTGTGCTCCTGCGTGAATGTACTGTATGTGAGACAGGTGTGTGTATCGGTGTGTGTGTCAGTGTCTGTGAGTGTGTTGCCACGTCTCTCTCTCTCTCTCTCTCTCTCTCTCTCTCTCTCTCTCTCTCTCTCTCTCTCTCTCTCTCTCTCTCTCTCTCTCTCTCTCTCTCTCTCTCTCTCTCTCTCTCTCTCTCTCTCTCTCTCTCTCTCTCTCTCTCTCTCTCTCTCTCTCTCCCTCCCTCTCTCTCGCTATGATACACCAAGTACTATCCCCTCTTCTGATAGAGATCAACCACATCAGCTTAAAGGGTGGATCTTTGGCTGAGGTATGGATCTCTTTTCTCCATGCCATAAAATCTCTTTGCTCCATGCCATAAAAACCAGTGTGTCATATTGCTGCTGGTGCTCAGCTGCAATGCTTGTTGCCCTTCTCTCTAAGCAGTCCGAGGCATATAAAACAAGATTCCCTTCAGGCTTCCCTTTTATTGTATTTCCTGGTTAGAAATAACAGAATTAATAGAAGAACCTGATAACACAGGCATTTATTATATTTAATACAGGTGGTCTCTTGAAAGAAAATCTATTTTGCAATAGAGGTATGTTCTGCACGAGATACCCAAGCCTTGCTGCATTTAATAGTGCAGCACTGTGGTCATCCGTCACAGGGCTCCTGGATTCATGCCTCTCACACACACAGCCATTTTATCTTGTTTTTCACTCCTGCCATTGAGATGGGAGGCACCTATAGGCTCCAGTACACAGCCAACACATGCCATGAAGGTGCATGCAACATAATGAGTGTGTATGTGTGCGTGTCCGTCTGTGTGCTGTACGTGCGCAGATTCACAGACACAAGACCACTTCAGGTCATTCCTCCTAGGTCTCAGTGGAAAACATAGGCGACTAGTCAGTGTTCGATTTCTACAACCTCTCTCGCCTATGATGTGAGCAGAGGGCATAGGAGAGAGGACAGGAGATGATAGGGGAGAGGAGACTCTATTAGACTGTTCCATTCCATTGCCTGAACAGAACCATTCAGGGGACTCCTCAGCTCCCCGGCCAATTACTGCTTAGCAACAGCGACACCTCCAAAGCCCACAAGGAAGATCTACTGTTAAGGTTATGGAAATCAGGGGTGTATTCATTAGTACACACCATAGCAAACAGTAGCACACAACATTTTGCAACTGAATACATATTGCGACGTAATCAATAGTTTCTTGTTATTGGACACGTTAAGATAGTATTCCTTGATGTAGCCGTAGCCGGTGCCTAATGAACATGACCCTGGAGAACCACATATCTACGGTCCACTTTGAGTGACTAGGTCTACACTGTGGGTGAGGTTGCTAATGGAGCGCTGTTAAGTTAAAGATTAACTCGTGAAGCTCAGCTGCACTTCAGCCTTTGATCAAAATAGCCTCTATCGGAGCAGGGAGGCGGAGTTATGAAATGCAGCTGTTAATGTTTGGCCAATGGCCAACATCTGCTGTGTACTGGGAAAGATCATTACTGGCCAATAAAAACACACAGAGAGCACAGAAGTTTTACCATTGCTCAACAATTAAACACACAATAACATAGGCAGACATCAACCTGCCCACAACAGCATCATGCAATTTGTGATGAAAACTGAATGTGATATATATAAATGCCTGTATATATATATATATATATATATATATATATATATATATATATATATATATATATATACAGTATATATATATAAAGTAATTTAGCTAATGACAATTGTATCAACACAGAGAGACAAGTGATCCATTAAGCTACCAGAAGGGGGCACATTTGCTCCATAAGTGTTTCATGCAGAGCACCTAAATCACTTAAAGTTTTTTCTTGTTACTTCATCACATTATGATAAATATAACTTTATCGCCTATTTAATGTTATGTTGGCATGCTTTTCTCTAATGTGTGGCTGGGTTGTCTTTATTTGCAGTGTATTACAGTGATTAGCCTATATGCCGATACAGCCCTTTTAATGCGTGTTGTAATGTGTTATAATGTGTGTTGTGACGTGCCCAGCAGTTTCCATGAACTGATAACACATCAGATCTGAATGCTCTCAGACAGAGCTATTGGAGCCACCAGTGTCTCTGATGTAAGACTTTATGGCTTAATAAGAGCAAAACTCAGTGGATGACTCTTAATCTATAATGAGCGTCTGCTAAATGATGCAAATGTAAATGTAAATAAAGAGGGAATATGGAACCTTGTGTTTCCATCTGAACAGAGCAGACTACACTCAGGGATTCTGTCTGTCTGTGTGTGTGTGTGTGTGTGTGTGTGTGTGTGTGTGTTTGTCACCATCGTGGCCATTCGAAACAAATGCGCAGGCATCGATGTGGCCGGAAGGAGGGAGTTGTATGATTCTGTATGACAAGAAGCTGCCAAGTGGGGAATCGTAGGTGGCTCATTTCAGCTTGTTGTGTCTTGTTATTGATACCATGTCTTGTTTTGAGGTGTTTTGACTGATGTCATGTCTATGCTAATATGGCTAAAAATCGCTAGCTAGCTAACCAATAACGGTAACAATGTATTTGAGAGACAACAAGTGTTCATTGTGAAAATGTATTTATGTTTTCAATAAACATTTGGAGACAAAATATAGTTTACATGTTGTCAACAGTCTAATCCAACCCTGTCTGTTTTGCCCCAGAGTTGCGCACGCGTCACTTTCGTTGCTAAACAACCAACCATTCTATAGTCTCTCTATTTACTTACTGTCTCAGCCTGGTCTCAGAGCAAAACGTATTATATTTTACATGCCACTCCATTTAGTATGATATGTTATGTTTGGTATGGACAGTAGGTTGCTTAAGATTAATGAAATAAAATGAACCTCATAAAATGTTACCTGTAATGCACATCTCCTGTAGCTTAACAGTCTCCTTATTTTCATACTGTACCTAAATTGTAAGGGTTGGATTTGCACTAAACCATTTTATATGTCAGCACTTAAAAGGCATGTACAGTCGTGGTCAAAGGTTTTGAGAATGACACAAGTATTGGTCTTCACAAAGTTCGCTGCTTCAGTGTTATGAGATATTTTTGTCAGATGTTACTATGGTATACTGAAGTATAATTACAAGCATTCCATAAGTGTCAAAGGCTTTTATTGACAATTACATTAAGTTTATGCAAAGAGTCAATATTTGCAGTGTTGACCCTTCTTTTTCAAGACCTCTGCAATCCGCCCTGGCATGCTGTCAATTAACTTCTGGGCCACATCCTGACTGATGGCAGCCCATTCTTGCATAATCAATGCTTGGAGTTTGTCAGAATTTGTGGGTTTTTGTTTGTCCACCCGCCTCTTGAGGATCGACCACAAGTTCTCAATGGGATTAAGTTCTGGGGAGTTTCCTGGCCATGGACCCAAAATGTTGATGTTTTGTTCCCCGAGCTACTTAGTTATCACTTTTGCCTTATGGCAAGGTGCTCCATCGTGCTGGAAAAGGCATTGGTCGTCACCAAACTGTTCTTGGATGGTTGGGAGAAGTTGCTCTCGGAGGATGTGTTGGTACCATTCTTTATTCATGGCTGTGTTCTTAGGCAAAATTGTGAGTGAGCCCACTCCCTTGACTGAGAAGCAACCCCACACATGAATGGTCTCAGGATGCTTTACTGTTGGCATGACACAGGACTGATGGTAGCGCACACCTTGTCTTCTCCGGACAAGGTGTTTTCCGGATGCCCCAAACAATCGGAAAGGGGATTCATCAGAGAAAATGACTTTACCCCAGTCCTCAGCAGTCCAATCCCTGTACCTTTTGCAGAATATCAGTCTGTCCCTGATGTTTTTACCGGAGAGAAGTGGCTTCTTTGCTGCCCTTCTTGACACCAGGCCATCCTCCAAAAGTCTTCGCCTCACTGTGCGTGCAGATGCACTCACACCTGCCTGCTGCCATTCCTGAGCAAGCTCCGATCCCGCAGCTGAATCAACTTTAGGAGACGGTCCTGTCGCTTGCTGGACTTTCTTGGGTGCCCTGAAGCCTTCTTCACAACAATTGAACCTCTCTCCTTGAAGTTCTTGATGATCCGATAAATGGTTGATTTAGGTGAAATCTTACTAGCAGCAATATCCTTGCCTGTGAAGCCCTTTTTGTGCAAAGCAATGATGACGGCACGTGTTTCCTTGTAGGTAACCATGGTTAACAGAGGAAGAACAATGATTTCAAGCACCACCCTCCTTTTAAAGCTTCCAGTCTGTTATTCTAACTCAATGAGCATGACAGAGTGATCTCCAGCCTTGTCCTCGTCAACACTCTCACCTGTGTTAACGAGAGAATCACTGACATGATGTCAGCTGGTCCTTTTGTGGCAGGGCTGAAATGCAGTGGAAAAGTTTTTTGGGGAATAAATTCATTTTCATGGCAAAGAGGGACTTTGCAATTAATTGCAATTCATCTGATCACTCTTCATTACATTCTGGAGTATATGCAAATTGCCATCATAAAAACTGAGGCAGCAGACTTTGTGAAAATTAATATTTGTGTCATTCTCAAAACATTTGACCACGACTGTACAGAATGGTTTGCCTCGTATACATTGTCTACTGGTATCATTTTAAACTGAGAACATATAGCTCAACATGTAAACAATGTGTGAGTTTAACTATTCTCTGATTCAGATGACAGATGCCCATAAGGCCAGTATTACCATCATACTGTAGGCCTATGGCTGCATTGGAGATGCATGCCATATGACAAGCTGCAAAATGGATTCACATAGCTGATATACTGAGAGAGAGAGAGAGTGACAATCAAATAAAACAGATTTTACAACTAGACAAAAAGGAAATGTTCATTTGAGAATACAGCACAGAAACACAGACACATTAGAGACAGAACCAATTCCCATCTTTATTGCAGGATTGTGATATGTGATTAATCAACATTGACACTAGTCAATCTGAATAATAGTTGAACAATTAAAACAAGTTCAAACACTTCAAAGAAGCAACACTTTATCACTTCAAAATGTACAAATAAGCTAACTCCTATGTAAAGATTAGACATCTTAGTCTAAACAACAATAGATCATTGAGTAGTAACAAGTAGGTTATTATTACTAAAGCATAATTTCA